ATGGTCGGACCGTTTCGGGCTTGAGTGGTTGAGGAAAACGGCAATTTACTATAGGATAAAGAGTACTAATTTGTTTCGTCAGAGTGCTTCCGAAAAAGCGTGGTTCTAGATTGCCTGAATCTAGAATTGTTGCGTTGTCGAGACTTAACATCTCCAACAACGACGGTTCTTCAGAACAGATGGAAGCCAGCGAGATCGCTGAGCTCATGGCTGCAGACGAAGAGGACTTCCCTAGCGAGTTCCCTCTCTCGTTCCCCGAGATCGAACATCGTCAGAAGGACGACAACGATATCAAGAAACTCCTCAGGGACAAGCCAAACGACTACAAGAAGCAATCTTTCCCCAGAGGGGATAAGTCTTACGACTTAGTAGTCAAAGACGACAAGATCGTCGTACCTAAGACTATGCAGAAGAAGCTAGTCGAATGGTACCATGGTGTACTGATGCATCCTGGCGAGACTCGCACAGAACTGACCATCAGCCAACACTACACCTGGAAAGGACTGCGCAAGACTGTGCAGGCCGTATGTCAGCGTTGCCAGAGCTGCCAGATGAACAAACCCAAAACGTGTAAGCTGGGATTGATGCCTCCAAAGACTTGCGAGGAGATCCCTTGGGAAAGACTATGTATTGACCTGATAGGTCCTTACAACGTCGGGGATCCTAAGAAAAAGAATTCCTGCACACTTCATTGCTTGACAATGATTGATCCCGTAACCGGATGGTTCGAGATTGCAGAGATCTGCTCCAAGGCAGCAGACGAAGTAGCCATCGTCCTAGAACAAACGTGGCTTACTCGGTATCCATGGCCTGCTGAGGTTATCATGGATAGAGGACGTGAGTTCCGCGCAGAGGTCGAAAAGACTCTCCGGGATGAATATGGACTTCGTCGCAAGTTCATCACTACGCGTAACCCTCAAGCCAACTCTATGGTCGAGCGTGCTCATCAGACCATACGCAACTTGATCGCTGTTCAAAACATCAAGTGCCAAGACGACCTCGTGAATGGATCCTGGGATGGAGTCCTCACGGCGGTTCGCTTTGCAATGAATGCCACGATTCATACCACCTTGCGTGCAACGCCCGCACAGCTCGTGTTCAATCGTGACGCGATTCACAACGTCCGGTTCGAAGCCAACTGGAAGTACATCAAGGAACGTCGCCAACGACTAATCCAACAAAACAACGATAGGGAAAACGCAACGCGTGTCCCTCATCAATACAATGTCAACGATACCGTGATGATTCAACAGTATCAGCACCGCAAGTACGGTCAGCCAAAGTACAAAGGTCCTTACACTATAGACCGAGTCAATGACAATGGCACTGTACGGCTCCAACATGCTACCGCCAACGGCGGCACAGTCTACCAGACTTGGAACATAAGGTATATACACCCATACAAGGCCTGATCCCCTTGTAGGATTGCCATCGTGCGACGCACATGTCTACATCCAAATCTCATGAGAGTGCCCCGCACTTTAAATCATATGTTCTCCTTGTCCGACTGCTGTCACGCCTTCTGTGACCCTTGTCAGGGGGCGAAAAAAATACACGGCTCTTAGCCTTATTCGCGACTCGATCCTAGATAGGGTTTGAGTTCGACTCATGACTGAGTCTCTCGTGAATAGTCATTTGAGACAGGGTTCTCAATGACCACTCTAGTCATACTAGGTTGATGATGAAACATCGCTCTAGATATTTAGCCAGCGTGGAGTACTTCCACGCTACTAGATCCATGCTAGACAAACCTTCCACGCGTTCAGTTTTAGGATCGTGGAGATACGTAGGATTACTACCGCAACCTACTCTATCACACTTTATAGTCTCCCGCGGGAAGCCAGATCTACGATCCCTTGATGATGATCTCTCTCGTTGATTAGTTTTCATAGCTTTCTAATCTCTCTCATAACTTTCATTCTCTCAAACTCAAAACACTCGAAAGATCTTTACACTAGCTTTTAGCATAGTGCAACTGTGTAATTAGTGTTGCAGTGTACCCGCACTTCAGTTGCAGAATCAACGGTCATGTGTATCCATAAGTAACAGGTTCTCGTTCGATAAAAATAGATTGATTCGTGGATAAAGGTACCAGGTACTGCCTCAATCTTATCCTCGCACCTCTGTATGCATGCTGCCGATCTGTTCACTTGCTTCGTCGCAAGTCCATCATTGAAGGTGCAGCACTGACTTCTCTCCCTCATTGAATTGCTATGGCAAACAGGAGAGAAATCCAAGCTTGGCCGACAAGAATGGTGTTGGAACGAACGAACGACTGATACAAAAAGGGGTAAGCCTATTATCAAGAGTGTTATTGAAGGTGCAGATTCGAAAGCCATCCCTCATTCAATTTCTATGGTATTCAGGAGAGAATTCCAAGCTCGGCCGTCAACAGGTGAGTTTTGCATTTAAAGGTGCATAACTGAAAGCCATCCCTCATTCATTTCTATGGACCATGGGCAGGCAGTCAGATCTCTGCCATCAAAAGGTGAGTTGTCCTTCAATTATTCGAGTGACAAGTCGAGTCAATCGATCGATCGCACCTCTGTTATCCAACCAACCGTACTATCAAGCCTCACCCAAGCCGGCTGTCTTCGGTGCAGAAGCGAAAGCCATCCCTCATTGTATCCTATGGACCATGGGATGGCAGTCAGTTCTCGGTACATGACAACCAAGTTGGTGCAATTTGAAAAGCAAGAGTAAGTCTCCAGTCGTCTGCAGTTGAGCACAGAAAACAAAACTCATATCTATTTGTTGTTTTCTCTGCTGCACTGCTGACGGCCGATGAACTACCATTGTTGAGTCCTTTTCGAACCAACGAACGATCGCTATGCTACCGCTCCTACAGAGAAGACTGTTAACTCCAGCCCTACCAACAGCATGAACGAACGTCGTTGAGTCATTGAAGAGGCAACAGTTAACCGGAGGAGGCTACACGACAACACACAAGAGAGTGGATCCTCCTACCGGATTCATCCCTCCTTGTTATTTCCTAGTATTTTGGTGGTGATTTCTGTGTTCATACCCATTTTCCCGTTGGAACAGTGCTTGTGGAGCCTGGATTGACAATATTCCTGTATTCATTGTAATGGTGAGGCAATGGAGTGTAGCAACTGGCTACAATGGCTGGATTGACAATATTCGGTTTTGTGCATGTGTTCGTCATAAGGATCCAATGCAAGGTACTGGTAACGGAGTGTAGCCAGTAAAGCGGAACCTGAGTGTGTTCGGTACTGTTGCCACTGTCACCGATTGATGTAACTCTACGGTAACTGGCTACAATGGCTGGATTGACAATATTCGGTTGTGCATGTATTCGTCATAAGGATCCAATGCAAGGTACTGGTAACAAAGTGTAGCGAGCAAAGCCGAACTTTCGGTACTGTTGACACTAGCTATATGGCAGCTGGCTACGATGGCTGGATTAACAATATTCGGTTGTTCGTGTGTTTGTCATAAGGATCCAATGCGAGGTAACCGTAGCGAGCAAAGCCGAACCTGATTGTGTTTGTTACTGTTGCCACTGTCACTGATCGATGAACTCTACGGTAGTTGGCTACGATGGCTGGATTGACAATGTTCGGTTGTGCATGTATTCGTCATAAGGATCCAATGCAAGGTACCGGTAACGGAGTGTAGCCAGTAAAGCGGAACCTGAGTGTGTTCGGTACTGTTGCCACTGTCACGGATCGATGTAACTCTCTGCCTACGGTACCGTAGCTGGCTACAATGGCTGGATTGGGATCCAAGTAGCCAGCAAACTGAGGAAACAGGAGACGAACGCTGAAAAAAAGCCGAATGTCTAGAGTAGCAACAATAATATCAAAACACACCACGGCAGCAGCAACAACAAGAACAACAAGAACAACATGAACAACAACGACAGCAGCAGCAGCAGCAACAACAAACAGGATGTCTTCCCCTGAAGCCGCGCCGTCCGTAAAGCGAACAGCACGCTTGAAACAGCAAGGAGAGAAATACACGCTATTTCTGCTGGAAAATGGAACGCCAGTGGAAACCAAGATAATTGAATCAAAGGAAGACAAAATTGGTGGTCTTGGGTTGATAGATGAAGATGGATTTCCCATTCCTGGTGCAAAATACTCAATGGTGACGAAAGGATCCTCTCTGGAATTGGATGATGGCAACTGTAACAAATATGAAGTAGAGAATGAGACACCGTTCGATGCTGCAAATGGTGAGTTTTGTTTTGGTTCATTCGTTCGTTTATTGTTGAATCTATTCCGGTCGTCCTTGGCTAACAATTAATCTGTCACTCTTTGATTACTGTGGGTACATTACCGATTGGTTTGCCTTAATTCCACCATCCTCATTACCATCCCCTGTGCCAGCAGGGAAAGTATCACAATAAATCCCCACTAGCAGCAAGGAACTTCTTCGGTTTAAGTCGGACACAGCAGAGATTCTCAAGCATGTGAAATCGGTCCACACGGAACCAGACAGCGAGAAGATCTACATCGAGCGGACTCAAGCACTCACCAGTTTGGAAACAGAGCTAGCATGTATCGGGCGGAATTTAAAGACATTGAAGAAGATGGCTGTGCAGAAAACGAACTATCAAACACTTTAATTTGCCACCATTAGTGGAGCCGGGAAGTCCCGTTTCGTGCTCCGAGAACTGGGGAAACCAACCTTCCACGACATCCCCATGAGCCTGGTTACATTCAATTTCAATGGTGGGACAGGTGGGGGATCGGACACACTGTTGATCAAGTCTTCGACTGCAGCGAAAGCGATGTCACGGCTTCTGCTGAGCCGTGGTCTTTTCTCTACCTCCCCAGACCTGTCTTTTGTGACTCAGCAGCCTCTGCCTGATGATGAAATAGTGGCAACAGTGAATACTGTAATTGATGCTCTTTTCATGGACCGATTCAAGCTTCCCACTGCTGTGGGCCAGGGCCTCCTGGTAGTTCACCTTGATGAGCTTCGGTTATTGAAAGAGGTGGTGGGTGATGAGTGGATCAGGGACTTCATCAGTATCCTCCTGGACTACAGTTATGCGCACTCACCTGAAGGACGGTACATTCTGCCAGTTGTAACTCATACCTGCCCGGACGACAACTTGCTGCTCAATCCTGAATTCAACAACCCTCTTTTCTCACCAAAGAGTCTATCACTCCCCCCTTTGACGTCGGCTCAATCAATGGAAATTCTAATCTGGAGGAGGGAGAATGACGGCGATAAAAATGCCGATTGCATTGATTGGAAAGCTTGGGAGAATGTGATTGCGCTTGCTGGTGGTCATCCAGGTCTACTTGTGGAGTGCTACACTAAATTGACAGACAGTAGTATGCCTATGGAACACAACACACAGACCGAAGTGGCAGTGGTGGCTGACCTTGCGTCAGGAGAAAGGATCAAGAAATTCAACAGATCCTTGGAGGCCTTGAAAGGAAAAGAGACAGGTCCGGCCTCCATGGTGAGTTTCATCACTGACTGCTTACTTCTGAATAAAGTACCTTTCTCGAAAGCACGGAACTTGTTTGCGTGTTGGCCTGGATGGTTCGAATGTCCTGAGAGCACTGAAGGCATCCTGGGGCTAGTATCTTGTCCTTTTCCTATTCTTGTCTCTTTGATGGCCAAGTGCGGCGATGGAAAGTTTTCAGCCATAGGTGAAGCATTGAATCCCCGTGAACCAGGATTCGTGACTACAAAAGCAATGGAGTATGTCTCTGCACTGGCTGTGTTGTTGAATCGTACAAAGAGCATCAGTTTATTGGTTCAATGTCCTTCAGACGATGCCTTCAAAATTTTGGAGAAGGCGGAAGAGAACTTTTTTGCTGTATGGAAGTTGGAGAATCAACCTGTGCTTGATTTTGGTGGTCTACTTTCCGGTTGGAAGATCTTGGGTCAAAGTAAGATGCAGCAAGCAGGGCTGCAAACAACTCAAGTGCTTGACTGAAGTCTTGGATATGGCCTAGAAAATTGGCAATAAGGTCAAGAAAGAGGAGCTCACTGGACAACTTCATGCATACTGGCTGTCAAGCCGGATATCGCAAAGCATATCCCAAATGAACAATCTTATCCTCATCTAAGAAGCGCAATTGTAGGTAGTTGCTGAATTGGGAACCTCTGGTCTAGTTTGTGGAAGCACATCCCAACCGACATCTTCCCAACCAAGTGCTTAGGTTCCAAATAGGAAGGCACGGTCCATTTTGGCAACCTCCACGTGGTTGTGGATTGGGAACCTCTCTCAGTTCTAGATTGGGAAGCAAGGTCTAGGTCTAAAAGCTAGTTCCTAATGGTTTCTTTGGTTGCCAATTCATAAACTTTCTATCTAATTCATTACTTGCTATCTAGATTGGTAAGATGTACTCCACCAACACCAAAGTCCCAACAACTAACTCTCGAAATTCACCAAGTCGAGGACTTGTGCATACAGGGTAAAATGGGTGCCGACACGAGCAATCACCACCAAAACACTAGAAATAACAACTGGAGGGATGAATCCAAGAGTAGGATCCACTCTCTTGTGTGTTGTTCGTGTAGCCTCCTCCTCAGGTTGACGACTGTTGCCATTCAATGACTCGACGACAATCAGGCTGTGATAGGGCTTGAGTTAACAGCCTCCTCCAATAGCGGTACCTCCCTCTTCCTCTTGTTATCCCGGAGCGATCGATTGTTCTTCGTCAGACTCGACAATGGTAGTTCATCCAGCCGTCAGCAGTGCAGCAAGACAACCAACAAATAGATATGAGTTTTGTTTCTGTGCTCAACTGAGAAAACCGGCGGACTTACCCTTGTTCTCCAACTTGGCCGTCCCGTAGAGCGTAGAACCGACTGCCTTCCCGCGGTCCATAGGATTGAATGAGGATGGCTTTCGAATCTGCACCGGAGACGGACGGCTTGAGTTGAGGCTTGACAATAGGATAATAGAGGTGAATCGACGATTTCGATTCGAATAATTAAAAGAACAAATCACCTGTTGACGGACGAGCTCGGAATATCTCTCCTGATTTACCATAGAAACAATGAGGGAGAGAAGTCAGCACTGTACCTTCAATTTAACACTCATGATAATAGATGCTTATACCTCATTGGCGATCGATTGGATCGATTGAATAAAGAACTCCTCCTACCAGATAATAGCTTACCATCTTGTCGCCAAGTTGGATTTACCTCCTGTTTACCATAGGAATACAATGAGGGAGAGAATCAGTGCTGCGCCTTCAATAAGACACTAGCTAATAGACTTACCCGTAATAGTAGTACAGAGTCTAGTAGTAGCGATCGGCGCTCCTCCACCATTGTGCGGTTGCTTCCTGTTGTTTGTTGGTTGGTTGGTTGGAGTGATCCACTGCGAGGAGGCTGCTTTGAAGAAGAGGGCAGCCGGGCAGGCTGTTCCGTGAAGTCTGTTTGAATCCTTTACTGTGGAAAAGCAGTACTCTCAATGACACTTCCCAAAACAGTTGCCCTCCTTATAAATCCAGGTCAACCTTGTGGAACAGAAGCAGCGCCACATCCAGACAGGGCTTATCCAGCTCACCAATCGAAGCTTCTCCTCTTACAGAACAAAGAACAACCTTCCAATAGTGGCTTCTCCTCCTCCCCAGAACAGGCATCCAACATCCAACTTGGTGCCACAGCGCAGCTCACAGCGCTCTGGTAACCTTTCCACCCAGATTGGGAACTTCTCTCTGGTTCCAGATCTGGAGGTTTAGGTTGTGGAAATGAGGGTAGCAGGGGCCAAACTGGAACTCCAAAAGTGATAGTTCCATATTGAGAGATAGGCAAGTTGTCAATCTAGAACCACTAAAGGTACCAATAGAGGACCTGCAGTCCAGATTACAAGAAATGGCTCAAATCTGGAAGCAATTTGGTTGTGGATTCACAACCAAGAGGATAAGTAAGGGAACATACATACATGAGGATTCAACAATTACCTAAAAATGTGCTTCTTAGATGCTGCGTTTCGTGTGGCAATGGGTGGGAAGGTGTCAAAGGATGAAGCAATCAAGACGATCCGCACAGAGAAGGAGAGGGAAGGGATCAAGGACGCAAAGGTTACTATTTACGATCTCATGGCGCTTCTGAACACAATAGATGCATCCGAAGACCACAAGTTTACCTACGCCGGGCGAATTGTTAGCGACAAAGCTGGTGCTGGTGGCAAAAAGGTCAAAGAGTCCGACTACAAACAGCCACCGCGGCGAGTGAGCGTCCTCAATGGCGTCTCTCTCAGTCTTTCCCTCTAACTTTTCCGGGGTTTTCACCCCCCCTAATTCCCTTCATCCTTCCAACCAACCCATCATTCTCATTTTTTTTACAATCGATGTAAGTTATCGTCATGTGTATGAATTGTTGTGTATGAATCGTGGTGTGTATGAATCCAGGGGCTTGATTTTTGAGAAAAGGAGTTGACAATTGACAATGTAGGAGCGTTCCTCAATCGTGCATGTCCTTTAAATCCGACCCTATTTTTAGGGTTGGTTTGGGGAAACTCGACCCTAAATCCGACTGATTTTGGGTCGGTTTCGAAACCTGACCCTAAATCGAAACCCGTCCCTAAATTAGGGACGTTTTTTCAGAAACCGTCCCTATTTATAGGGTCGGTTTTCAAACCCGACCCTAATATTGGTGCGTTTTCAATGTATTTACCATTCAGTCCCGCTTCCATTTAGGGACGTTTTTCAAACCTGACCCTAAATCGAAACCCGTCCCTAAATTAGGGACGTTTTTTCAGAAACCGTCCCTATTTTTTAGAAACCGTCCCTATTTTTAGGGTCGGTTTTCAAACCCGACCCTAAAGGGAACCCGTCCCTAAATCCATCCCAAAAAATAGGGTCGGTTTTTGTTAAGACATGCACGATTGAGGAACGCTCCAGGTAAAACACAACAGCATGCTCTCACGACAGCGTAATGCCGTCCCATACATTGTACTTTTCAGCCTGCCAGCTACCGGTAAGTTGGGTTGCTAGCTAGTGGCTAGTAATTAATACATGAAGCAGTAAAAAGTATCGTATGCAATGAGGCCTCTAATCCAGCCCATGACTTATCTCTATTTTCTACTACGAGTAGCATTTTCCAAATATATTACCAGTACTCAGTACAGCTGCACTGGTCATCTGGACATTCTGCAATCTCCTGACTCTTTCGACACATTAAAGGGATAAGGATGGCCACTACTCTGCACTCGTGAATCTGAAAACGGTGGCTGTTTTGATCGAATGCGGTACCCACATTGAACTTGCTTTCTTTCACTAGAACTTAATAACTGGTCATTAAGACCTGACGTACAAAAACGTACCAAAAGAGAAGTCATCGATAATTGGACAATAATTGGACAGTTACAGCAGAGCCATTGACACGACAGCCAACACTCCCCCAGCACCAAAAGGCAGCTTGAGCACTTGAGCAAGAAACTGGGTTGATTCCGCGGGGACATCTGCCGCACCTTCCACATAAACACAGACCGCAACGCCATCTGCAGAAGGAACGAGACAAACCAAAAACCAGATAGATACCCTCATGCCATTGAACACCATGGTATCCCCTTCTTCCTCTTACGCTACCTTCCTTCTCCTGCTCTTCGCTAATGCTGCAGTGGGCGAGGAAGAGCTCTGCATATCTGATTCCAAAACGTTCACAGTAAAGGTGGATCTTCACGCGTCCGAAAGAGGTGAGTAGCAGTCGAACTTGCCGGCATGTCAATCAATCGCTGGATCTAACCTGATTGGTTGCGTTTCTGTGTCGGTTGATGTTGGTTGCACGCAGGCTACTATTACTTTGAAGAATGTGGGAAGCAGGTGAATCCAACCATTGGGATGGAATTTGGAGAGACCTATACGTTCATCCAAGAAGACAAGTCCAACTTTTGGCATCCCCTGAGCTTTGCCTACTTCCCTGACGCCCATCATGTGGGTGGTGACATGCTCCAGCCTCATGTCATGGGACAATCACTGACGGGTGCCAATGCCGTGGTGAGCCGCTCTACCGAAGACGACTGCTCCAGGAATATGACCTGCCCCGCACCCATGTATATGCTCAACGATGGCTACCTCGGAGCCTACTCGAATATTCCCGAGATTGAAGAAGTCACCGTGAATAAGGACGACAATGGATTGAAAACCTACGAGAACTTGTTCTTCAAGGGCATGTCGACCTGGAAGGGATACGGCACCTTCTCGGTCAAGCTGCGGTTCGATGATGAACAGTACGTCCACCATGACCTCTTTTACTACTGCCATTTCCACCAGTTCATGGCTGGACGCATCAAGCTACTCAAGGATAGAGTCCCCATCAACGAGCTAGAGGAACCACCGTTGTACTATGAGCGGGAAAGTCCCGGTGAATTTGATGAAATGTGTGGAACCTATGGACTGGATGCGTTCCAATTGCCACATCCGCAATGTCCTAGAACATTTGTCTGTGATCCTGACGACAGTATGAAAGACTTTGCTTCCTGCATCGATGCCATGGATTGCCACATGGTTTACGGCATGACCACCAAGGTATCCAGCGGCACGGAACTGGCGTTGTTCTTGCATCAAATGATTCCACATCATCAAAATGCCGTCAACATGGCCAAGGCACTTTTGAAAGCTGGATTTTTGCCCTGTGAAGACTTGACCAATGAAGAAGATCCCTACTGTGTCATGCAGGGGCTCCTCTATGGAATTGTCAATCGGCAAAATTTTGAAATTGGCATCATGAGCAACGTTTTGGCGGCCATGAATCTACCACGAATGGATGATTGCGAAGTCGAGGTGGGAGACCCCGAGGGGCAATCCAGGGCACTCCGGAGCATGGCAACGACGGCGGCGGGGGCCATCTTTGGAGCTGCCATGCAGGCATTCTAGTTCTGTGGCAAAACAAAGGGTGCGTAGATTGCTTTCTAGATCTTACCGATACGTTCATTTTATACTACCACCTACGCTGCGGGACCAGCTAGACACACAAATAAATCACGACCCTGCTGCCAATACCGGTACAGGTACAGATAACTTTATGGTTTCGTATACCGGTACCAACAGATTGCAGCGCCAATGAAGACTGTTTGTTGTTCCTCTAGCTACCGTAGCTACCAGTACATACATAGAGCTGGGCTCATCATCACTGAGCAGTCGGCAATGGTTTGGGTTAAGTGTGCTATCAGGGAAAGGCGTTCTAAGTAAAATACTTCAACTACTGCCAGCTATTTAAAATACGGCTAATAATACAGCTTTATTAATATTAATAGCAGCGCAGAATAGAACACGTCAGGCCATACACTACTACTGTATCTACTATCCTAGACTGGAACCGAGCCATAAGTGCCGCACCACTTTCTTTTTTCGGGTACTCGGTATTTATCTCAGAATCCAGGCAAAATTACAATTAATTATTTAATATTATAAATTTTCTTAAGAACCACAAGCACTTTTAGGAAGTTTGGTGGGATCAGGCCCACACAAACCGGTACCGGTAGAGGGGGCCAAAGGCCGGATACCGGTATGCCCCCTCTGCCCCCCTAAATGAGTGGCTTCATCTTTTTTCTTTTCATACCTCGAGCTCCCCATCAACAAAACAAACCACCAATGTAACTTCAATGATGTGGAGTGGCCTTAGAGACAGCTCACCCACTCAGCACTTGCCCAGAATGGTGGAGAGTGAGAGAGATTCGGAGGAGGAGGATTATCAACTACGAATTTTGGCTGGGATAGAACAGTCATCCAACAGGCGCACTACCGGTACACTACCAAGTTCAGCGTCAGGGAGAGAGTTTTCCGTAGATCATCCTTGCATGTGGTCCATTTCCTATGACCAGCTTATGCAAGTTGAGAGAGAGGCAAGACTTGTATTCCCTTGGTATTCCTATCGGTGGAAAACCATGAGAGATGTCAACACGCACATTATCAGCCCAGAGTGCCAGAGGACCGGGACGGGATATGCTCTGAGTCTCAATCCTAAAGGATTAAAGTGCGACGCCTTCATTACCCATTGTTGGGACGGTAAGCCAAGTATTCCACCTTTGTGACCTCTTGTCATGGGTGTGGACAGCCGTGCTCAACCATTCAATGTCGCTCACATTCCCCCAGAACCCTTTGCAGACTTTGTAGAGTCTATCCGAGTTGCTTTCCAGTCATTGCCAGACAACAACAAACCAAGTTTATGGATCTGCGCTTTTGCCTTGAGGCAAGGAGCCCGTCACGTCCGGGAGCAACTTGACGTTCCGTTAGAACAGTCACCCTTTGTGAGGGCCTTGGGCAAGGCCAACACATTTGTAGTGGTCAGGAATGCCAGAGTGGACCTCTACAGCAGAGCTTGGTGTGTTGCAGAGTTGCACTTTGCCACCGAATTTGGATTTACGATTAGAGGCCGGGGCCCGAAAACTACAATGGTTACTGGTCCCAACAAGTTCTCTCATGTTCGCACTGGTTGTAAGTACGCAGAGGCTTCTATAACGGCAGACACGCTCAAGATTCGTGACGCGTTGAAACGGAGGCGAGGAAATCTAAGAGAAATTGACAAATTGATACAACAGTATCGGAACCATGAGCTTCAGAAGGAGGACCATTGGCTTTACTTTTTGCTGGTGATTGCATCCTTCGTAGCGATTGCTGCTGTGGCAATCCGAAATCCAGCCGGCAATCCACTCAGTCGCACAGAGTTAATATCTTTCCTTCCAGAATCCAATCAAGACTCCATTCTTCCAGGATCGCCACAAGCAAGAGCTCTGGATTGGACTATGGAGCACCCCGATTTTCTTGCGGCTCCAGAATGGCGTAAACGACAACTGTTTGGGTTGATGTCGCTCTACTACTCTGCCATGTTGTCCTGGGAGGTCGATAGTAGCGTTCATGAGTGCAAATGGAGAGACAAAAGTTGCAAGAAAACCGATGTATGCCAGAAACTGTGCAGTTGGTGCATCTCTTGCACGGAAGATGGGCGTATTGAAAGGCTCATTATTCAACCCAACTCGCCAATCCAGGGCTCCATTCCTCCCGAAGTTTCCATGCTGAGCTCCCACCTCCGAGAGCTCAAATTCCAAGACAGATACCTGTCCCGAAACATTCAGTGGGATGCGACGTGGTCATTACCTACCGAGCTAGGCATGCTGAGCAACCTCGAAAGTTTCGATGTGACTGCCCTGGAGCTTACGGGGGTTGTGCCCACAGAATTTGGTGCTATGTCGGCCTTGGCGAATCTATCATTGCGAAGCCACATCCGCTTGGTGGGTGAGATCCCGTCCGAGCTTGGCCTGGCCACATCGCTGACCAACTTACAGTTGGAGGACCACAAATTCCATGGCCAAGTCCCCTCCGAGCTGGGGAAGCTGAGGAAGCTACGAACTCTGAAAATCAACAAAAACCTTCTTAGTGGAACGGTCCCTGAGGAGATTTGCAGCCTGCGACATCTGGAAGCTATTCGAGTTGATTGCCAAAGCTTTTCGTCATGCTGCGGAGGGGATCCCAACAAGTGCAGATGTTCTCGTCCAAAGCGCCATTAGCTGCTAGCTAGCTAGATACATAGAATACTGCAGCTCAAACGGGGGCACTTCTGGTGATTGCTATGTGTGCTAATTTACGCTCGCCATCTGCCAGGACTGTTTAGCCAGCTACACTATCAGATTCTCAACCAAGGAAGACGTTGTCATTCAAAACATCATCATTGCTGACAAACACCATTCAACAACTACGACTGTAACCAGTTGGTCAATTGGTTGGATATTGACAGGTATCTCGGAAGTTGGTGACTATTTTTAAAATTTTGATCGCAAGATGATCCTCCAGACATATCATACAGAGTAAAGCCTGTGTTTTGGCGATTCGACAGTTTGTGCTGATCAAGAGTAAAACTACTTAATTCAGTCACTTTTTGCTAAAATCGTATGATATCATACAGTACTTTAGCTGGGGATGTCCAGAAGGAAATTTTATGATAGTCTAGGTTTCCCAAGCAATCCAAGTGCTTTCAAGAAAATTCCACTTTCGAGTTTTTTAATGCGGAGTAGGATAGCCAGAACCGCACCCATACTGTACCGGTATGCATACGCCATTTTCTGGATGGAGGAGGGGCCGTGTCTGATCATGAGCACTGAAGCACACGGACCCACATACACATCGGATATCACGACTGACGCAGGTATAGAATCCATGTCTGGAGGAAAGGTAATGTCGGTGCCTGTACCGTACGGTACACGGTTGAAAGAAAGAGGTGACGAACGAAAGAGTGACAACTTTCAGGACCGCTGTGGAAATACCAGAGTCCAGCGTAAATCTGCAGAAACCTCTCTAAATAGACTACCAGAGAAAATCACGACTGATCTTTTCACAATGGCCCTGATTATTGAAACCCCTCAAAAGATCCAAAGATCTCTTCCCCGTCTGAATTTCTGAGTGCCACTGCAGTAGCTGGTGCGTACTATTAAAAAATAGTACGCGTACCTGGATGGTCCGGAAACGGGGCTTAAAGAATTACTGAAACATGTTTCAAGGATCTTTAGGGAAATCCAAACTCCAGAATTAGTTTCAAGAAGTTTTCACTTGGCACCCCATTTGCCTTTCTCATTATTTCGTCAGGATTGTGCTTCGAGAACCTCCCTAGCTAGTAAGTAACCAAGGCGATGGGGCTTGACCATTGCAATCAAAGTCTCTGTTGACTAACAGCTCTTCTTTGCCGCTTTCCGCTGATGACTTGTTCGCCAACAAAGATCATGAAGATATCTTTTGTACCCCTCCTTGTTCTTTCGATTGGTGCTACGGCGGCCAGAAAGCTCCACGAGAACAAAGCTGTTTTGTCCAATGGCGCTGAGTTTCTGATAGACATCCAGTCCCCGGATCTTGACTCTACTATTGATTTGGCTGCCGACGAAAATACGGCGAGCTTGTCCGTGACAGGCAAAGCCCAAGTGGGCCCAGCAGATGCTCGTGTTGCTTACCTCTTCATCGTCGACTCGTCTGGGACGAACAACAATGAAAGTGTTGCGGAATGTGGCACAATCTCCGACTGCACCACCGAGTTCTTCCGTTCCTTGCATGGTGAAGTCACCGCGGACGGATCAGCGGAGGCGATTGGAGTAATCAACTTCAACTCCAGCGCGATTAGTGTCACTGAATTCCAAGACCCTGACAATGTTGCCATTGAAGAAGCCCTCCATGGTGGTCCCTTGGACCATGCTGGTGGTGAGGCATCTTGCATGACAGCCTTGGAGACGGCTGCTTCCATGATATATGACTCCTCTCCCTGGGCTGCCGAGACTATCGTTGTGGTCTTTGCCGGGGATGGTGTTTGCCACGGTACCGGTAGCAGCAACACTACTCTCCTGCCTCTCCTGCCTGATCAAGGCGCTGACACCAACACCCAAGAAAAGAGCGTGGCTGTGTCCGCTGGTGTCCTCGGTAGAACTTATGCGATGGTTCACTCTGTGGCTCTTGGGGGTTCGCGCGACTGTGATGGAGACAACAGCTTCGCTGAAACTCCAAGGAACGGAGGTAGTTGTCACTCGCTCTCGGACCCTACCACTCCTCTCGGTATCGTTCATGACATCACCGCGACGGAGCTGACGAGCTTGGAGATCGCCATTGATGATGAATATTACAGGCCTCTGCGAAGCTTGGGCGAAATTCAGGTCCAACTCCCGCTGGTAAGCTCCCGTTGGGCTCCCGTTAATGATGTAGATCTTTGACGAGGAACATGTTTTGTTTCCTCAACTTCCCTTCGCTCCTTCACTCTTTCATCCTACAAACAGGAGGGGCCAGTCCAGGTCGACTTTGAGGTCCAGGCAAAGGATCTTGCCAGAGGAAGTCATGATATCTGTGTCCGTGCGTCTGGCAAGAGCCCCTCGGGATACCTGACTTTCGTCGAAGATTGCCACCGAGCCACAATCGCCACTCCACACTTTTGGCCCTCTTCCTCAGACTCTGTCGACTCTCCGACCTGCACAGTCGACCATGAATTAGCGCAAACCACACGAGAGATCACTGTCGACGTGGGATACAACGACGTCGAGAGTGGCAACTTTGCCATCACCATTTATGATCCACCATACGCAGCCGCTGGAAGCCCCATCACCACGAGCGGCTTTTGTGTTGACGTTGGGCGGTCCATTCAAAAAGGACAACAATACAAGATGGATGTCTTCAGTGCTTTTGACCCTGACATTCATACAAACGCGATAGACAAGCCCCAATATCTCCCCCACTTGGCGTGGCTGGTCAACAACTACGAGGCAGGCGACACGTATCCTGCCACTCCTGATTGCTCGGGTACGTGCCTCATAACTCATTTAGTATTCGTTCCTCTCGCTTCTCTCATACTCACTGTTTTGTCACCACCAAGGCGGTGAAATCACTTGGCGGGAGATGCAAGGCGCCGTTTGGAAACTTGTCGACGACGATGTCATGTTCCGAGCGTCCAGTCGTGTGGAATGCATTGCTGAAGGGATTGCTCAAGATGCCCGCGACAACGGCGGGAACTACGAGCCAGATTGCCTAAACAGAGATGAACGAATTCCTTTGGTGATGGTTGTCGACGACGATGCAACCGGAGAGATCCTCAATCAAGTGATTATCTCGCAGACATTCCTTTCCACTATCGAAGGAATGTGTAACTGCACAACCAAGGGAAGCAACCCCGCGGCGATTGTAATTGGAGCAACATCTGGGGTTGGAAGCCTGTCGGGGCACACCGAAATGGTCCCTGGAGCAACTACTGCGACATCGGGAACAACCGGGAGCTCCCCCGCCACAGCAGCACAAGGAGCAACCGGAAGTACCTCGGGACCGACTGGAAGCTCTCCCGTCAAAACGACAATGAGCTCGGTGACCTCGACAAAACCGAAAGCTGGGGTGACGAGCAGCTCGAAGTTGTCGAAGGAGATCTATCTCCCCGTTCTTGCAAGTATTGCGCTCCTCCTTGTTGCCGCGCTTGCCGCCCTGAAGAACCGCCGCCCTAACAAGGACGAGGCAAGCGATACTGACAGCACCGACTCTCGAGATTCCGACAGCGCTGGTTGGGACAGCGGCAGCAACGGCTGGGACTTCGATGATCCGTCGGTGGGGTCGTCCGTGGGCGAGGTGGTTGAGATCGTCTAGCTTGCTGCATCCTGTGGAGATCCGCGATAGATTGCCTTCAGCATCTGTGTTGGCTGTATTATTCATGCATGCTGTGCATGTTACAGGAACCCAAAACTCTCAGAACTTGTGGGCCGAAACATTCAAAAATACATTATAATATTCATCGAGCACATTACACAGCCTCTATGGTTTGCCTCTCCAAAGATCCCTTGCCGACTTCGTCTTGCCAGACTTTTTGGCGTACTTGGCGACATAGCCAGCAACAACCTCTCTGCCTCGCACCTCCCATTCCTTTCTGTTTGCCGTGGCATAGTTGAGGTACTCCGCACTCGACACACCGAAGACACCACATTCCTTGAGCTTCTTGGCCAAAGGTATGATATAGAAGTCATAGAACCCCAGCTCGCCTTCATACCACGATTCTGGAGGAACGAACGTGCGTGTGAGGATGGTGGAACGTGAATGGCATGCAAACTCTTCGTCTCTACTGCACATACCGGACGGGTCCTTTTCTACTTTGCCATCTAAGAAGGCCTGGTGCATCTCCTGGAAAAGTTTCTGTCGGAGGAAACGAAACAAAGTAGAACATTGACTAAGCCCACGGCAGCAATTACTAGGACAAGGACTGGGAAATAAGCCTTCACTTTCTTACCTCGTTCCATTTGATGTAGATATGCCAGTGTTGCATCTGTCCGACAGATTTAATTGAATCAGTCTGTGATGAGTTCACAACTTCTCAAAGCTACAACTTCCACAGGATTTGTGACTTACTGTGTGTACCACGTCCGATGCTTGGATGAGATGTTCAATCTGTGGGGTTTTGATAAACAACCAGCTCATGATGAGAAAACGGAAGGGTCGAGACTTGGCAAGGTTCGCAACAAGGCACTCACCACAATTGTGGCCTTTCTGTTGACGGCCTCTTCATTTGATTCCTCGTAATCGCCGTCTGCGTCCCCATCCGCAGACTGGCTGTGGAATGCCTTCATCCACCGTGCCTTGCGTTGCGCACTAAGTGTCTTGTCGGAAATGTCCGTTGCAATGATGCTATTAATGACGAGCTATTGTAACAAGAGTGGCATAAGTAGTGAAGTGAGAGACAGGACCAAGGGGGAAGGAGGTCGACATAGTCAACGTACCTGTCTAAATCGTTTCCCCTCCTCATCTGTTGCGTAAATGCACGATCGCAAATCCTTGTACTTGTCATCCATGAGCATGTTCCAGCACAAGTCGAAGGAATTCTACACATTGGAGGAGAAGCAATGAGCTCCTAGTCGCAAGATCCCAACCAACCACGATACTTTGAGTTCCATTCTGTGTCTCACCTGCTCTGCTACACTTCTGTTTTCATACTTCACCGCCAGTTCTGTTTGCTCGTTGACCAAGGAAACATTCGGGCACCCAGGATGGTCACTGTGGCAGGTCATTGCAATTCTCGCAATGTTAGAAAACTATAGAGTACAAATGCCCACCCGGACGTGACACCGGAACTACTTACGCATCATGGATAAGGGCGGCAAATACACATGCGAACTGAGTCAGAGGGTCCGAAGTAATGCCTGAAAGTTGGAGAAACAGGCAACATCATTATTTGAGTGACTCTGTAATATAGAGAACAAGAGACAATTTTCCACTAACATACCATATGTATGATCTGCATAGGTTTGATGGTCGAGGAGGCCAACACAGACAGAGTAGGAAGGAGCGAAGAATTCAACTGGTGAGACAGCTTCAGCTTTTGTTTGCACCCTGATGTGAAGCAAGGAAATACATACCGTGTCTGACATTCAATTGATTCGATTCAAGATGAGAACAGTTCAGAGAAGAGTGAGACACTTGGCCGAATCAATCAATCGAATCACACACACAGTTAGCATCAGGCAGGCAACATACCTCTTGGACTCAAAATGCCGTCCCTTATCCTTGGTGTAATCCAGTTCTGGCTGGACAATTCGTGCCAACAGTTTTGAAACCCCCATTGTGGCATGTGTTGCATGGTCGACTGCAGGGAGTTGGAGTAAAGGAATGAGAGCGTGAGCAAGCATTTGGATTAGTCTTGCCGGTCGAGCCAAGACATGTGGTTGCCTCGACTCACAATTGTGAAATGCATTGTCTCTATACAGGAGCGCTACCTGCGAGATGTAGTTGTCCAGTTGCTCCAAAGCAGGTGCAGGTATCTTGACGGAGGAGGAATCGGCTTCTTTTCTCACCATCGCTCTGTCAAACTTGGGGAGCATGATAATGTCTTTTACCTCATCAATAGCAAGTCTGCCTTCATCGCCATTAGGTGCGACGATGCTGGAAGGAGCATCGTTCATCTTCTTGATCAGCATGATGTTCCAGCCAGATGCAGATCGACGTGCAAGGATCTGCTTCAAGATCTTGTGCAATATTTCGGAGATCCAATGCACAGATCGCTTTCTACCTTCACCCAGGCCATCCGCAGACGCAATCGTGTCATGTAGGATCGCCAAGCTTTTCATGTTCATTCCTGAACTCAAGCTTGGACGTGGTGTTGCTACCTGCATCACATCAGACATCTCGGACATGCTCCTTTCGAATCCATGTGCTCTTGGATGACACCAATAGGTCTGGAGCTTTCCTTTACCTTCGTAGAAGCGTGTTCATGAAAAGAACAACTCATTAGGGGAAGCAAGAGGTTGAAGCACACACACGCGGCACATTCGTACCCTTTGCCAACACTTTCGTGTCCCTCGCAGTAAGCCACTTATCACGACCAGCTGCAATCAGAAGATCGGCTGTCTCTTGGGAGACCTGGATCTTACTGCGCTCCCCGGTGCTCTCCATACGGCTTGCTGTATTGACTGCACAATCACCGAAAATGAAACAATATTAAGCTCTAAAAGGCAACGATGCAGAGCATATGTTGGGCCGATCGGAATCGTAATCCGTACCTGTGTCACCTTGGGTAAAAGCGTTCAAAGATGATGAAGCTGGTGAGCAGACATTCATAGATGGACCGCTTGATCTAAGGCAATGCAGTTTCCTACTTACCAAAGAGCTGGAACCGAGTCTTCTCCCCTCTCAAGACACCCGCTGTTACTGGGCCACTATCCGACGAGGCAGGTGGGGTCAAATTGAGTGAGCGTCCATTTGCGTTTCCTCCTGTGTGCTGATTTCTCCTTCGATCCTTACCTGTGCAAACCAAATCTCATCTACCATTTGGGTCAAAAGCTTGAGTGAGCCACATGATCCTGAATGTCTTCCGGAGTTCTAAGGGCGCTTACCGTCAATTCTGATGTTCCGGGGCCAAGCTCCAGCTCCAGAGCCTGGGCTGTAGCCTGCATCTTCGTAAGGCAATCGTATGCGAACTTCACCATCACAACTGCATGATCCTCTCTTGGTGCTGTGGTGTGGGGGAGATGGATGACGAGTCAGTCAAGGAGACATGGCAGCTGGGGGCTTGCGCTTGTGAAGCCAGATAGCACTTACTTGGCAGTCCTGTTACCTGTACGAGGCCAATCATGCAACATACATCAGATTCAGATGAGAAGAGAACAAGCAATATTGACGCATGATGGTCTGGCAAACTGCTTACCGCAAGGTAGCTGTCCCCAATTGTTTCCACTGGGCTCGGACAAAAAGAAAGTGATGTGAGCATATACTTTCCCGCTAATAGTCTGGGGGGTACAAGAAGGATTCGTGAGCAAAATTATGAATGTGCCACCAATTCTCTTCAACTGCGGTTTACTCAATCTCTTTCTCACATACCATTCTCCCAACCCACAGCAACCCATCAATTAACTGACCCTTGAAGACGTTCCGCCTATGAGCAATAGTATCAAATTCATTGTAAACCTAAAGACGGCGATTGCGATTGGATGAGAAATGCCTTCAAAGCTTTGCAAGTTGGTGTTTGGTATTTCCTTTCAACATACGCTTTCGAGCAAGTGGAAGACCTGCGTTGGTTGTCGGACTGATGACCACGCCGTGAATCCTACAAACCAAGCAAATGGGGTGAGATGAACTTAGGAACTATTTTGGACGTTTTCATCAGTGCATGTTTTGACTCACCACAGATATCACAAAACAGTACGGTGCAATCAGGCCACAAATCTGCAATGGGGGCATCTTTCTTCTTCTTTCCTTCCTCCATAGCCGTGTCGGCTGTTCCTGCAGCGGCCCCCTTTTGCCTGTCTTCTTCAGAGATCATTGACATCATTTTGAACTTTGGGGCGGCATGAGACTTGTCAGCGGCCAAGGTGGATGAGAATAAACGTTCGTGTACTTCTTGAGGAAAGAGATTCCCGATAATGGCGGTGGTTTTCGTGGCGGCTGCCACCAAGGTGGAGTGCTGTTGCTGGACGACCAGGTCGTAGAGAAGAAAGACGAGGGAGGTAAAGGAAAATACAGCAACGACCGCCAGTGTGATGTAGAGAGGCATGGATGTATGAAAAGCTTCTTCCATTTCATCGGTAGGATAGACTTGAAGTGTAAAGGAGCACACGTTGCTGGGTGATGTCAGGTTGGAGGCAACGGCGAGGCTTTCAAACTTGTCATTGTGCCAATCTCCGACTCCCAGAAACGTCGTCTCCATTCCCGAAACTTGGTAGCTGTAGGACGAATTGCCACAGGAATCATGAAGAACACACATGACGGGTGTTGCGGCATCATGGAGAATCCCTTTAAAGATCTCGCCCCACGAGAGCAGTTCAAAGACGACGGCAACAATGGCGGAACCGGCCTCAAAGGATTCAAAGACGGGTTGCAGCAAAACGCTCTTCGGGCAAGGCTCTGCAGTTTCATCTTGGAAGAGCGCCAAGTCGTCATTCGTGATTCCCGACAGCACGCCGCTGCGAGTCGACGACACGGTGGTGACGAGGTCGGCGAACATGGGGTTGCTCAGAAGATTGTAGTTGACATGGATGGATTCGCGAGGAGGAGGATAGGTTTGCCAGAGGGGCAAGTATCCGGAGGACTGTGGCTTTTCCACCATGGGCATGTTGTTCTGCACGTACTTCCAAATGGATGCCGGAATGGGTTGGGCCTGACGCGGGACGTCTGTTTCGTTCCAAGCTTGATCCTCGCTGCGCTGCAGGTACTCAAAGTCAATGCCTTCTTGAAGCCACTGCTGGTTGGTTTGAGCGTAGGACTCCCAGATAGATCGTTGTGTGTCGCTGACAAGTGGGGCAAACGCCACTTGTTGCGCCTTGGAGATGAAGAGGAAATCACTGGCGCGAGTTTCAAAGTGTGGTAGTGTCATTTGCGGCCAGGTCAAGGATTCGTTGGCAAACAGAGCCAAGGACGTAGCAGTCTTGCCAAAGCTGGAAAGGACCCTAAAGCTGGCAGCCACGTTGGCGGTCGCCTGGTCGATAATCTCGTCGGCATAGTCATGGAACTGCAGAGTGATGGGAGGTTATCACAAAGGTTAGAGGTTGAACAATCATGCGTGTGCCGGCTCTTGGCTGCACTGCACTGCACTAATCGCATTCAACTCAATTCAACTCACCTGATCTTCAAACCCTGCTTGCTCTTCCCCGGTGGTGTACTTGAAGCTCAGGAAGCTGACCAGTACCATGCAGCCCACGAGGACGGCAGCGACGAGCCACTTGGACGCCAGAATGTAGCGTGGGATGCCAAGCCCAATGCCCAAGGCTGCCGATGTGACAGAGGAGATACTACCGTGTTTGGACGCTGAACGATGAGACGACTCTTCATTCGTCGTCGTGTCATCGTCAGACCATGAGTCGTCTTCTTCGTCATAGCTTGACTCCTCCAACGTGGCGAGTTTGGTCTCCATCGATTCCTCGTGGGCATGGCTTTCCAATCCAAGGCCGCTGCCTCCTTCACTCGAAGTGGTGGAGGGCTCTCCCGTCTCTTCCAGGACGTTCTCTAGCTTGGGATGCGTCATGCTTACTTCAAACAAAATACAGAGATGACAATACCTTCTTGGGTGTTAGAGTGTTGCAGTTTGTAACAATGAAGGTGGAAGTAGGTTTGAACAAGGTGTAGTTGTTTCTCAACAAACCATCAAGGAGAGTTGCGATTCTTTTTACGAAGGCCAGCTTCTCAGGCCTTCCTGCAGGTGAGGGTCATTTTGGGAGCTTCGCTTTCGATCTGACACAGTGAGACGGTGGATAATTCTTCGTGCACTCTTTTTCTTGGAGTAGTTCAAATGTTCAAATTCAAGTGAAGAAGGGTCTACCGGTACAGTAAGGGAATCAGCCAAATTGTCATTGCATACCGGAACATCCCTAGAACTAACGATGCTCTACTAAATTTGCCACAGTCGCATTTCGGCCAAGCGGAACACTATTATAAAGAGAATTCAAAATGACTTTCTGAAAGGTCATTCTGAAAACTGCGACAACGCTGTAAAAACCTACTCAGTAGTTGCAACGTACAAGTGCTTCCGCCGGTTTGCTATGAAGCTGCTATGATTGGAATTTGGAATGGAGAATGGAGGATAGGAGGTGTGAGGGGCTGAATTCGGAGTCTTTACTCTTTACTCAGTACTGGAGTACTCCGTAGCTAGCTAGTCTACATGTGGTACTGTCAACTGTGGAGCCTGATGAAGTGGTTGCCAAGGGCGCGGTCACTGGTGGAGGAGCAGCTGTACCACAGCCAAAATGTCATACCACAGTGATCCTACTCAAGTCTACAGAGAGTGACTCAGCCAATGTTCCAAGAGAAATATTGCATTTATCCATTTATTCGGCATAGATTGTGGTTTATGGAATGAAACCCTCACTTTCTTGGTCCTGCTTCTGGATTGTACAGAGGCGACTACATGCACGGAAGTAGTCTAGCTACCGGTACCTGGTAGTCGGTACATGTACAAACGCCATGAGAGAGTGATATACAAACGCCATGATAGTGATGTGGGTAGGTCGGCTAGCTCTACTAGTAGTAGCGGTGGCAACGTGGCAACCTCCTGAGTTATTCAGTCGACATTCGACCACTGGATAACCACCACGCAGACCCAGACACAAAGCAACCGCACCCCATCGTGATGCTGGATCTTATTGCAGTTATTGCGTCCCGCAGCTGACGTTCGGAGAGGGATAAAGTACCGGTAATAAAAGGCCAGGGACCTGCAAAGTGCAAAGTACATACGCACAACGCGCTGGGAGGAATCCCATCGTCAGAGAGTGTTGATTCTATTGATTTGGCAAACTTCAAGGACACTGCCTGTGTTTTTGCTAGCCGGTTCGCCAGCGGGCCAGCTAATAGCTCGCTCCCCACCCCCGTATCCGGATCGCTCTTGGGCTTGAACTTTTTAAAAAAAGAGAAAGAGCCAGGCAATAGTAAACAAACCGTATTCTGTAGCTACCTGGCTGGAGAGCTGCTGATGCATCGCTCAGGCCATCTTCAAAAGAATCAAGCAATAGCCCCACCGCTGCTCTCTCTTCCTTGCAGCTACCAAAGTGCCTTGCCTCGCTCCTTCGCTCCTTCAAAGAATCGTTGGGATGCTGTAGTGGGCGGAGTTGCGATGCTGTGGCGGCCGGTACGGTAATGAGTTGGGATGCTGCTTCAGTACCAGCTAGATGAGCCTTTTCACTACATGCAACCATCGAATCACCATGTAGGCCCTACTTGCTTCGCTTCAGAGTGCCGGAGAGCACTAGTTCTTCCTGGCCTGACCTGACCTGACCTGACCTGACCCGACCTGCCAAGAAAGAAGTCGGCTCCAAACTGCTTCTTTTATGACTCCCTGGGTGTTTAAAAGACGCATGGCTGTCTCTAGCCAGATTGCCATCGCCAGTCCAGGTCCAAGCCCAGCCAGACCAGGATCAGCCACTCGTATTGAAACTCGCTTGGACGTGTTTGCGTTGACTTCAGCAGGTACCGTACCGGTACGGTACGGTAGGAGGTGTGAACATCAAGGCAGTCTGGTGCGGCCACCTGAATGCATTCGATCCGCTGGCTTCGTACATACATGTACGGTACTGAGTAGCAACTTGCTAGAGCTCTTGCCAGCTAGCTAGCAAAACGTAAATAATTTACTCCAAGTGAAGTTCTTCTCTGCCCCTGAGTGAGTATTGCCCTTCGCTTTCCTCCGTTTGCTTCCTTACTCTATATACTCTGGTGTAAGTAGTTGTACACCGTGCAGGGAGACGACCTGTTCAAGGGGGTCTAGAGTAGGAAAGTTTATCTACAGAGAGACCTTTGCCCTTGGCTTTCCACCACAGCAACATGCCCAAAGCTGGTAGCTAGTCATTAGCCATTGCCTACAACTTGATTGCAGGTTGCCCTTCTTTTCTTCCATGTGCCCTTCTTTCGTCGGAACCATTGCCCTCCCACAGTTGGCGGCTTCGTTCCCATCTAATAGAATGGCTCCTTGATTGAAGCCACCGATCGGCACCATGGGCAAGTACCAAGGTTTGCTAAGAAGTCCTCTCCAGCTAGATCGGTATGTACTGTACCAGTAGCCGCCAAGATCGCGAGCAGCATGCTCAAACTCTTCCTACATCTTCGTTTTGCCGGTTAATTTTCATCTATCCGAACGGCCTTGACTGCGGGCTTTCTTGCCGAGCACATAAACGCACACAATTCCATTCCACTTGACACCGATACCCAGTTCCAACGCCCTTTTGAGCCTCGGTACTCGGTAGGTACTGCTATCACTCTGTTGAAAAGAATTGTGCCCCTGCAGCAACAGCCGCCAACGCCGCTTGTACCAGATCCACAAAAAAGATATACATCATTTGCCCCGATAGAACCGGCCAATAGGTTTCTCCTCTTCTTTCCCCATTCACCAAGATCGGGACATTGCCCAGAAACTGCGAAAAGTGAGCCGACGAAATTACACCCAGAATCACCATTCGTTCTCCTGGTGCTTCAAAAAGATCGAGTTCTTGGTATCGAATTCCTAGTAAAATTCCACACAGCAATGCCCAAGCTCCATTGAATCCTCCCAAGAAGGGGCCCGTGGCCACCAACGTTGGATAGATGGGAGAACGTCGTTGGGATTTGGGGACCAAAAGCTCCCCCGCTTTGGTCCTTTGAATGGTAAAAAAGTGAAACCCAGCTCCAAACCAAAGAAAGCTGGCTAACAGACTGGAGTTGTAGAGATTGTCTCTTGTGATGAGAAGCATGATTGCCTTTGTCTATCAAACAGAACAGAATCTGATAGGAAAACGATGCTTCGCAAAGGGATTTTGTGGAAAATCACTTTGGTCTTTGACACGGGTTCTGTAAGGATGACGTCGGAATCGTGACGCGACTCGCGCAAATGGCTCATCGTCAAAAGCGACCATGAGCTTTCGAACATCTTCCATTGTGCCTCCGCCGTTGCTTCTTATTTAGAATAGAAGAAAATGCCTCAAGACAAAGACAAACTCCTACCGAATCCAGAGGTTCCCTCGCTGTTTGGTACTCCCCCGGACTCAGGAAGGAATTTCCGTGCCAAGAAAGATGTCAAGGGAATGGCGAACCGCGTGGGCAAGCAATGGGAAGGATTGGGTCCGCAAAAAGAATTGGTGCCGCTTCCCGAGAGTCCTCGCACCAAAGCCAAGCCCAAGATTGCCAATCTACCGGGAGTCCACAACAAGAATGCGCCGACACTCTTTGGGGCGTCGCCGCAAGTGGAAAAACCCAAACCCGGAAAACTGAATACGACACCGAAAAAGGGCGATGGCAGTAAAGCACCGAGTCTCTTTTCGGGCAGCAATGCGTATTTTTCCAAGGCAACCAGTACAGGAGCAGATTAAAAGGCTTTCGTGTGTGTGGATGCAGAATAAATAAATGTGGTGGGCACAATGGCGTCACACCTGGGTTGCTCCCCAGCAAAGAAAGCATGGAGAAAAAATCAAAAGAGAAGCCAACAAGCTACATGTATAGTGGAGTACGTAGCAGACGTAAAAAGTCTATGTGTTGATAAGGACACGAAGGAAATATCCTAGTTTACAGCTCGTTTCCGTCCTATCAAATAGATGAGGATGGAACTAATAATTAAGATTCCATTACGTACGCTCCTTTCTAGTTAGTCCCAGTTTGTCCCCACAGATCCAAATGATGAAGTCATTCGATCAAGCCAAAAGTTGGGGAGCACCCGGTCGGGCATATCCCACATCTTCAATGTCTTGTCATCGCTGCCACTGATGAATCTGTTGCCGTCATGAAAGATGGCGCAACACCGAACAGCTTCCGTGTGTTGGTCGATCGTCAGGATATCCGCTCCTTCCGTGAGATCCCACACGATGAGAGTTTTGTCCAAACTGCCTGTCAATGCCCGTTTGCCATCTGGAAACAAGGCGCAGCACTCTACGTTTCGTTGTCCTGTCAATGTCATTTGTTCTAACCCGGTTTCGAGATCCCACATCATCGCCTTGAAATCGTGTCCACTGATGGCTCGTGTGCCATCCTCAAAAAATGCACAGCACCAAGAAGGACCATTGTGTCCTTCCAGTTTCCTGAGCTGTGCTCCAGATGCGAGATCCCAAAGCCTCAATGTTTTGTCGTCAGCTCCACTGAGAGCTCTTTTGCTGTCCTCAGTGACGGCACAACACCTTATCCATCCCGTGTGCCCTTCCAAAACCATGAGTTGCTTTCCAGTGGCAATATTCCACAATCTCAAGTGGTTGTCACTACCCCCACTAATGGCTCTTTTCCCGTTAAGAAAGGAAGCACAACAAAGCACCCCTGTATTGTGCCCTTGGAATTTCTTGAGTTGTTTTCCCGTGACAAGATCCCAAACCCTCAAGGACCTGTCATGGCTTCCACTGAGGGCTCTTTTGCTGCTGTCGCCCCCCAAGACAGCACAGCACGAAACCCATTCGGTGTGTCCCGCCAATGTCCTGAGCAATTTCCCTGTGGATAAATTCCACACCTTGAGTGTGTTGTCATAACTCCCAGTGAGGGCTCTCTTTCCATTTTGATATACTGTGCAACATTGTATCTTGTTATCATGTCCTGTCAAGTTTCCACGAAGTAGCGGTTGTTCGAAGTGAGCAAAACGCAAGTCCAAGGACTTTTGCCGAAACTGTGGACACGATTTCAGTACAGCACTCTCCACATTGTAGAATTTGGGGAGATCATCTGACATGGACTGAGGGCGCAGAGCATTGACGTGGCTCATGAGTCGAGCGTAGAGCTCTAACAGCCTCCATTGCTTCTCCTTGTCTTTGAATTTGTTAAAAAAGGAAGGTTCCATTTCCTCTTTCGCAGCTTTGTGTAGCTCGGGGAGGTCACTCAAATGTTTGGACAACAACGAGAATGTTTCTTGTTTTCCAGCCTTCCAATTGCAGTGATTAGTGGATTCCACTGCCGCCGCCAAATGATAGTTGGTAATGACAAGAATCGATAAGGACGTGATTTTATCTTTTGGATCTCGAACAGCCTTCCATGCTTTGGCAGCACAGTCACGCACAACCCTTAGAATTCGAAGATTAGCAGAACTTGTCATGGGTGCACTACTGGATACCGACAATTGGACGAGTCCCAGCTTGTCTCGCGCCATTTTGAGGTCACCATTGACTCTTTTTTTAGCATCGATACGTCGAATATCCATTTGTATCCACCTGTTGATCAATTTGTACTGGTACTCTACATCATCCGTTTGGTTTGGAGTGCTCATATTGGAAAATAGAAACCCAAAGCTATAATGCATGCAGCTGTGCTCTCGATTGACTCATATTTCTCCTTGGCAACGCAATATTATAAAGGAGGTTCCTTCTCATGCTACGGTATGTCATACCGGTATTGTGCTGGAGACTGCGAAATGCGAAAGGCAGAGAGCAACGAAGGCATCTCCTCGGCATGGCGTCGAACGTCGAACGTCGGCTGTGGTTCATAAAAAATCGACGACGTGCATCATTCGAATTGAAATTCGACTGCCTCTCACCCCAAGATCGGTCTCGCTTCGTTCAGTCATGGATACGGTGCGGTAACGTACGTAACAATTCTGCAGAGCCTCAGTCAACGAATGCAATCGAATCGAACGAATCGAATCGAATCAAACAAATAGATTCGAATAGAATCGAATAGAATAGAATCGAACGATTCGATTCGATTCTATCGAATCTTTCCTCCGCTGCACAACACCACAAAAACGAGATCTTCCGATGCAGATGAAGATGATGTCCAAGACAAGGCGCCAATGTACCTGTCCACTGGTGGTGTTCCTGCTATCAGTAGCAGCACTGTTTTCTGATGCCACAGCGCAAAACACCGACACCGTGATTGGCATTGCCGGACGCGACTTTGTGATGATGGGTTATTTGGACACCGTCACGAGCAATATCCTGGTCACATCGGCTGTGATCAACAAGGTTCACGTGATGCGAGAAAGTGAGGAGGAAACTGTGGTCATTGCAGCGACGGGTGATTTGCCTGACGTAGAAACATTGATGGCTCAAATTCGAGAACAAGTGGAAATGGAAGATTTCGCAGCGATGGCCCACGTGGACTTTGAGGACCTGCAACAGTCAACCCCCATCCCGGCAAGAACCAGTGGGCTTTCGGTCACTGCGATTGCGAAATTAGCACGCACTTGTATTGCCCAGAATTTGCGAACAGCATCACCCTATCGAGTGGGTTTGTTGTTGGCAGGAATGCACTCTCCCAAGAGATCTCCTCCTGGCCGATCTTTGTTTGGAGTCACCACGGCACGAAAGAAGGCATTGGCAGGCAAGCCTGATCATGTAGCAGGACAAGTTCAGCAGCAGCTACAACGGTCGACGTCATCCTTTTCGCTAGAAGCAGAAAATGAAGCCCCAGAAGAAACCACGGCAACCGCCCCGGCACGAAAAGAAGAACCACACCTATACTGGCTCGACGAGTATGGATCCTTGCAAAAGATTTGGTATGGCTCTCATGGTTTGGGATCCAACTTTGTACTGGCTGTCCTAGACCAAGGATACAACAAAAACCTGTCGAGACAACAAGCTGCAGAATTGATCCAACGGTGCTTTCAACAGCTCGAGAAACGATACATTATCAATTCACCAAGACCGCCAGTCATCAAATGCATTGATTCAAAGGGCTGTCAGTGTTTTGATCTCTTGTCAGGGTCAAAGGGAGATGTTTCAGACAGTTTGTAACGTGAGTGCTGTAACATTTTACAAGGCTAGAGGCGTTGCTACTGAGAGGCTGCAACCGTGGGACTGACATCATTCCAAAACACCGAATGTTCCTTTCCACTGCTTCACGATATCGATTTCTGCGACGGAGGGGAACTTGGACACTTTTTTGCTACCCGAACTGTCGAAACAATGATATGAGCAAAGAAGCGCACCTTGAAGGCCCACGAGAAGAAAGTTGGTTGGATGGGAGTCGAAACTGCTAGTAGATCCGTCGGTTAGTTTTTTAAAAAAGATCGACAAGCAACACAGCTTTCTATTCGTTTTCTGCCAGCTAGCTAAACAGTGCAATACTGGTCAAGGATGAAAGGTTGTCTCTCTCTCTCTAACGCTCGCACCACTCATTCCGCCATGAATTCCTCGCTGTTAACACTAGTGCGCCTGCGGTTTGCCTTATTCTCGGCTTCGCCTTCTGGTGGTGACTGCGCATTCGCAGACATTAGCCGCTCCGAGCCAGACTTCGTCCTTGTTACTTTCTTCTTCGCACTATTGTTGTGACTGTTCTTTCTCCTAGGTAACTTTTTCGTGGCTGACGGATTGGAATCATCTGCGCCAGAAGAAACGTTGTGGGTGGACTTGTCTGCGGATTTTTTCCGGGCCAGAGGTCGTCTCTTCTTACCCTCCTCGGACGCATTTGATTTTCGTGTTTTTGGCTCATCTGCCGAAGAACCGGATTGGGCTCTTCTCAATGCTGGCTCCTCGGGTGCTCCTGACTTGCTTTCGGATTGCTGCGTAGAATCACCATCCAAATCAGAAACCTTGCGGCGGTGCTTTCGAATCTTTGACTCCCCTGTCACGGAGGAACCGGATTGAGCTCTCCTCAATGCTATCGGCTCGGGAGCACCTGACTTGTCAGGCTGAATAGAATAATCCTCCGCATCAGACATTTTCCGGCGAGGCTTTCGGCTCTTCGATGCGTCCCATAAGGATGAACCAGATTTAGCTCTTCTCAATGGTGTCGGTCCTGGTACAGCATCTTCGTTCTCTTTCTTGCCGACGGCGGAGTGCATGCGTCTCAGTGATGGCGGTTTTGTCGAGCCTTCCCTTTTGCTGCCGATGTCTCGCTTTTCCTTCTTCTTGCCGCTGCTCTTACTTTTGCTGCTCCGTTTGCTTGGTTTCTTGACGGCTATAGTCGTCCCATCTTCCATGACAATGGCGTCGGCTGCCGATGTCGCATTGTTTGTCGAGTGCGCAGAGGATGCCGAGAGAGTATGGTGGCTGCTACTAGTGATATTCTCGCGATTGCTGCTCTTTTCGCTTCGCTTGGACGATGCAGAGAGAGCATGGTTGCTTTCACTAGCGATCGTCTCACGATTGACGCCCTTTTCGCCTTGCAACCCGTCTTCTCCGTCCTTTGATGCTTCCGTTTGTTCCTGCTGGCTCTCTGATTGCTCAATTCGGTCGCGCTGCTGCTCACTGCCATCACTCTCTTGTCGACGGCTGCCATCATGCTCTTCTACAACTGTACTACCTTCTGCTTCTCCTTGCGTAGACACCTTGGCTGCCTCGACGGCACCGTCACTTTTGGCCTCGTCCGGGCGCATGCTTGCCATATCGGTTTCAAACGCGATTGGAGCACCGCCATCGATGTTGCGTAGAACTTTGCTGCTCTTGCGAGAAGACGTCTTTGGTGCGGATTGTTTTTGTTCTGGTTCAAACACGAGCACACCGTCATCTGCACTACGCTTACCAAACGACTGTTTTTGGAGAGCCTTCTCTGCCAAATGAACGTCGCCAAAGCTCTGACTCATCCACAAGTCCTTTTTCTTGGATGACGTTTTGGACGTGGAGGAAATGTCCCGCATGGACAAGGCCTTGTTGGACGTTGCCAATCCTCGTCTAGTAGGCCGTCGTTGTTGTGTTTGCTTACTGGGACGCCTGGGTGATGATTGCTTTTCTTTGCTGCTGGTTGCGTCCACAGGTTGCTTACTGGCACGCCTCGGTGATAGTAGTTGCTTTTCTTTGCTAATAGCGTCCACGGTTAGCTTGCTGGCACGCCCCGGCGAGAGTTGCTCTTCTTTGCTGCTGATTCCAAGTTCCTCGCCCGACATGGGAGGTCTTCGGTGTGGTTTGTGTTGCGGATCCAGTCGTCCATAGTCGCTCGTGCTGGTGCTTCTCATGGATCCATCAACTGATTGTTGTTCTTGTTCCTCGGCAATCGATCCTTCGGAAATGCTGGTTCTGGTAGTCTTGGAAGCGCGTGTCTTTTCTCGGTAGGATCTCGATCCTCGCGATCGCCTCGGCTGTGGTTCTAGTAATCGTAAATGGTCACTTGGCATGTTGCTCGATTCATCGACGGTTCCCGTGACGCTAGATTGATCTAAAATGGATCCTTCGGAAACACTGATGCTCTTGGATACTCGAGTCTTTTCTCCTGGCAAGTTCAATGCAGATTTTCGGCTCTTGGGTGACTGTTCTCCACTGTCTTGTTCTATTTGGCCTTGTTCGTTATCAACCTCGTCCCGTCCTTCCAATCGGTCCATCATGACTTGAAATCCTTCGTGAATTTGCGCACATGTCCATCGTTTTTCGACGGACTGTCTCCACGCCCGTCGTAGGATTCCTTCCACCGGTGCTGGCATATGGGTGTACATGCTCATGTTGGGTCGTTTTCCTTCCATACAGACCTTGACGAGAAACTGTCCCGTCTTGTAGGAAATATACGCCCGTTGCAATGTCAATACCTCGACGGCAATAATGGCGAGACTGTAGGAATCGGCCACCAAGGAGGCTCCGGCCGCCCCTTGTGTGACAATTTCTGGTGCCATGTACCGAGGGACACTTCCGGTTTCCATAATGGGCAAGATGAAATTATTATTGCAAGTGGTCAATCCTTCCGTGCTGGTGGTAAATCGTTCTCCATCTCCAATTTCATCATCGTCAAATCGTAGATCATTGTCGTCGTCATGTTGTTGATGATGTTCTTGTTCACTACTCGTCATGCCTGTGGATGTGGCTGTCGTCATGTTGGATTGACTGGTTTCGTGTTGCAACGCGGAAACTTCTCGACAAGTTCCCAAATCGCACAATTGCAATCGTCCCGACGACGCCAAGAATCCAATACAGGTCGGATTCAATCCTAGCACCATGATTTGTCGTTCTTGCAAATACTCGAGTGCACTGGCAATGTCTCTACAAAATGCCAATTTTTGGATAAACAGAGGACAATCGGCATCGACTTGATGCATGGCAGAATCCTTGCGCCATAGTTCGAGTCGTTCTTCGAGTGTTTCTTGAATGCGTTCGGTAATGAGAAAAAAGGCATCGTGCAGTTTGTGTTTGGTGTCGTCCGCGAGTGCGGCATCGTCGGCTTGTCCGTGCAATTGCACAATGTTGGGGTGATTTAATTTGGACAAGTAATTGGCTTCGACGAGCAAATTGGTGACGGCTTGGTTGAACCGACTCTTGTTGTGATCGCTCTTGAGTTTCTTGTACAATTTTTTGGGAATGTGTTTCAGACAATACTGGTAGGGATGTTGTGGTTGTTGTTGCGCACTGCGTATCGTCGAGTCGGCCAATTGTTGTCGTGCCGCTTGTTGTTGTGCCATCAAGTCAGAGCTGTTGTTGTTGTCACCACTGAGGTCTTGTTGCGAATCTTCCAACATGGCCGCAATGACGTTGTGATTGTCAGTACTAAAGGAATCTTCGTATTGACCATGATGTCGTTCTTTCAAACAAATCCGCGCAATAGTGTAGCAATGGCAAAAAGTGCCCAGAGGAAGACCCTTGCCACTGCTCGATGTGTGGACTTCGTCTCGTTCCAACGGGGCCACCACTTTCAAGGGCCGTTTGCGAAGCCAGGGTGACAGCTGATGCAATCGTTCCAATTGAGCATAGATGGGGTCACCACTTGTATCATGGCTGCTCTGGTGCTTGCTGCTGCCGTCCTTGCCTACTGGCCCATGTTCCTCAGGGGTGGTGCCAGATGATGCCTTCTTGCTCTTCTTGAAAAGACTCGTCAACTTGGGCATCGTGATGACAAGCCAGTAGTATGAGAACGGTCACACACACAGAACCAAACTGAAGAAAGGCAAATGATGAGCACAGCCCAGTACTTGCCGGTTTCGTTGGACCAAGTCAAGGCTCAGGTTTGCCAATCGACTGCTCTAGTAAAGTACTGGTATGCCGCCAGGGTGTTGCTGTGTGGTTGCCACAGAACAGACAAGGAGCACGGTGTCACCGCTGCTGGAGATGAATGAGGATGAGGATGAAAGCGAGAAAGGTTCTTTTGGACGGGCGGGATTTCAGGCGGTCATGGTTTTAGTCAGGTCCAGGCCAGGTGATACTGTAAGCCCCCACCGGAGTGTTCCAGGTACTGTATTAATTAATAGTATGACAACATGAAAGATACAGTACAAAAGTGGATTTACGAGAAGGGTTCCGAATGACCATTAATTATTTATGCCTTACATTACTTTGTTAAATCTGCCCTTTACCTGTACCATTTCCCGCCAATAACTGCAACCTTATTTCATGGGATTTGTGACAGCACAACCACATTTATTACGATGAGAGTGACGAGACGACGAGACGACGGACAACGAGACACAGGAGAATCGACTCGAAAGCAATCATACCGCTACCCTTATTAGTAGCTACCGTATTTATTTTTCTCTCTCTCTAGCCAGGAGACTCCGCAAATCCATCATGCCCCTCACCGAGACGTAGCGGTCCCTGTTGAGTAGCTAGCTAGATACCGGTACTTTTCCAGCAGCAAGAACGAACTCCATTCGAAGGACGAGGACGAGCAAAAACAAGCCGCTTCATGTACTATTCTCTTTTTAGTAATTCGTGTGCGTGCCACTGGGAAGAGTCGGCGATTGAGTCAACCTCAGCTCCATGGGTGCGCGTGATCTTTTCCTCCAACGAAAGGTTGCTGTGGACGCTTTTGCTACTCGTTGCTCGCTTGACCACCTCCTCTTTCAAAAGATTTCCGGCGACACGGAAAGGAGCGTGCATTCCGGGTTATCATGAAGAAACTGCTCGATCTCTTCCTCTACGAAGAACGCGAAATCTTCCTCAAAGGAAGTGAGGCTGATGTCATCGTCGCTTTCAGTCATCTCCATGGGATCAACTAGGTCGACTGCACAAGCCTCGAGGTGCTCCTCCAACTCTGGATCCCAAACCTCATGGTCCTGAATGGGAACGCCACCTTCTGCCATAGAAGCAATGTCATCATCGGTCCCCATCGGCTCTTTCCTCTTCGCTTCGTGGCACTTAGCGCCGATTGGCCGGGGTTGCCTCTCCGGCAGAGTCTTCTGGGTTGTGACGGCTCCAAATGTACGAAGGCGAACGTTCCAAGCTGTCCAATCGGGAGATGGAACCGAAAAGAATCCGTTCTTGGCGTGGTCGGGGCAGCAATAGGACTTGCTCTGGAAACCAGAAACGACAATCAAGTAGTCCCTTGCTCGGCGGACACCCTGTGTTCAAGCGCAACGTTGTACCGTACAGGGCAGGGCGTAGCTTGTGAGCTGTTCGGCGATGATTGGCAAGCAAAAACAAGGACTCTCAGATCAGTTCTGCACTTTCTGTACTCACAGCTGGTCCACAATCTTGCATGATTCCTGAGTCCTTGAAGGCATCCTTGTTGGATTCAAGGTCCACACGGTTTACAAGCAATATTTCCACCAACACAGAAGCCGTTTTGCCCGTTGGAATCGTTGCCTTGGCATACTCGCGAAGGGACTCTCGAAACTTCCTCGTTCGGTACACATCTGCATCGTTGTAATCGCTGTTGGCTCCGACAACACCCATATCCACACTGTCAGGGATAACTTCGTAGACCACAGCTTTCCAAAGTAGACCATCGTTCTGGTCCCGCCAAGTTTCAATAATCACACGATGTGGCTGGATCTTAGTGGCATCCTGCACTGCGCGAATAGCATCTTCATGTATCCCAACCTTGCGGGCCAGGGCACAGATTTCTTCCCATTTCTTCTTCGAGAAGCCTTTCAAAAGGATGGACTCGTGAAGCTCAATCTTCCAGCGCACGGATGCAGGTTTGCGGCGCTTCGTTTGTACCATATCGTCATCCTTGCAAAACACGCAGAAACGCTCTTTCATTGCTTCAGGTGAAGCATCGGGCGAGAAGGAATGTCGCGCATAGCGCCCGTGTTTCCCGCATCCTTGACCGTGACAGCCGTCCTTCTTCATCAAGTGCACACCTGTAATCGTAAAAAAGCAAGTTGCGCAGAAGCCATAATGGCCGGACGTCATGTCTCTGTAACACCCTGGAGCGTAGCACTCCCGAAAATTTGTGACCTGTGTGGAGATATCAACAAACCAATGCAAAAAAACGCGGCAGTGGCTTTGCAGTGCACCCACTGGAATCGCAGAGGTGCTTACCTCATACTCGTCCTCCTAGTAAGTGTTTTCTTTCCTGCAAGTTCCACAAAGCAAAAAGGACTCATCTCCCTTTTCATACAAAAACTTTGCCCACCCCAGGCAAAGGATACACGTTCGTCCCATTGTACCGTACTAGTATGTCAATCGAAGAATGATGGGCAGAACATAGAAAGAGAGGAGGAGGCGAGGGCTGAAAGCTCAGAGAATGAAATCGTTTTGTAGGAAGGTTGAGCGCGCATTGAAGTAGTAGCTACAGTACCGGTCGTTACCTGACGGGGAGCCTGCAGTGCCCTTGAATGCACTTCTAGCCCTAGCTAGCACCCTCGTAGCCACACGCCCAAAGTGACGGGGGCCAACGGGGGGTACTTACTGTACAGGAGTAGCAGGCTTTCCTCGGATCCCCACGCCAGCCTTTCGTTACTAGTATCTTTGGAAGATACTCAGGTTTTGGTGCAAATGCAAGTAGGCTCCGTTCGAAATTGTGAATTAGCTATAGAGGCCTTGGAGGAGGGAAGCTACGTCGTGATCAGGGGGAGAAATCGGGGGAGAACCAAACAGACGTGATGCAAGCAGCGGAGTAGTCGAGCGCTTGGCATACGCGGTATCCTGCGAATAATATCCTGCTTCATCACGGAAGCGAGTTGTCGTGTAAGAAAGTGCTCTAGATTCGACTGAGCTAACCGTGCTTCCTCGGAAGGCTCCACCTGAAAGTCGAGTCCGTACAGCCACAGCGCCATCAAAAGTTTTCGGATTGCTTGGAGGCACAGGCCAACGCCTCAGTGACATTGTAGGATGGCGTTCGTTTCCATTGAAGCAAATGACATTCCAGCGTGGAGAAGCCTTTGAACTCAATCAGGGCTGGTTGTAACCGTGGAATAGAACTTTAGTGTGCGAATCTGGGGGACCGACAGAGATGGTGGATCAATAGGTTCGATATTCTCTGTCGGAGCTTGACTGTCAATTCTAGTAGCTCGTAGTAGGAGGAAAACAGAGCGATCCACAAGGGAAGCAAACGCTCGGTGTGACTGACCACCGCAATCACCGATCATGCATGGGCATGACATCACGCGAGCCACCGACGCAGCAACTTGCACGTTCTCAACACGGTCGGTATTGGTAGCAATAAGATTCCACTTCATGGTTTTTAAAATTCAGTGGTGATTTGAAGGACGAGTGCTCTCGGAGTCAATACAGGCTGATGACTCTTGGGGATTCGACCTGCAATTAGAGCTTTGGTAGACGATTCGATTCAACTCATCCCTTCAAGCGCAAAGGATCACTTGCAGTAGCGTAATATTCCAAAGCGTAACATTCCATAGCATCCCCGCATGCCCGTATGGACTCTATGGAACATGGTGATGACATCAGTGATATGGCGGATGCCCGGCAATCTACCATTGAATTGGAACTCGAAGGGCACTTCTCCAAACTCTCTGAGCCCAGAAACAAGACCATCGCCTCAAGTACTGCAATCTTAAAACAGCAAAGAAAAATGGTCAGTTTGGGCTTCCAGGCACGATCCACGCAATGTTCAAACACAGGAGGGACATGTGGGGAGCCCAAAATGCAGATAGACTTGGCAAGGGCATCCACACTCAAGCCAAAGCAGACAACTGACAAGCAATTCACAAATCAACCTGAAACAAACCAAATGCACTGACCCACTGCTCTCTGAGCACACTTGGCTACTCCAGACCTCATTTCATAACAGAGCCCAATGGCCAAAGACTTGGGAACCTGTCCTGAAAGATAGCTACACCACTCGCCTCGAGACTTCCTCCGTCGCTTCCAACCTCCCCTCCCAGTAACTCTCCCATCCCATCCAACAATCCATTCCACCATTTGGTGTCCAGCATGTTCCTGTGGGACCTGCCAAAGCAGATTCTGCAGAGATACAGAAATGCACCACCTCCCCTTGGGAGTGTATTGCCGGTGAGGGTGCCATTGGCTCCCTCTGTGAGATAACCCATTGCTTCAGCTTTGTGGGGACTGCCCAATGCTCTGGCTGCGACAAAGGATCAATTCATCCATCGGCACCAAATCCATCATAAAGATGTTGTTGTTTATTTCATAGCATCCCAACGTAGTAACCGGCCTCCTTGACCGGTTGCACCATCTCTCGCTTTTGAAGGGCTTTCCATTTCCATTCAAAGAAATCGGTTCAATGCTACCGGTACCTAGCAAGTGCAAACCTGTATTCTAAGCTACCGGTACTAGTACGAAGCCTGTCGAATCGTGTGGACAACGACGTACCGCCATACTACGGAATTACTGGGCAGGCCCCTACGGTACACTGACATTTTAGCTGTGTTGAACGCACTCGGAAAGCTTGTCAGACGGTCCCTTGTATTACAGTGCCGACCCGGTAGGGTTCCCTGACCGATTCGTATGACTCGACTCACGGGGAGAACGGCCTCCTGCCTGGTATCCACGAAGTCAGATTAAAACCTTACTTTGCTTGCTTGAGTATGCCCCGGTACACTCATCAATCAGAAACAGCACTCAAGAAAGACAAGCGGTGCCAATTCAACTCATTTCAAATTGAGATGACTGGAGACGATCCTTCACCGTAGTGCCGGTGCCGGTACCGTACCGTACAGTACGGGGTCGCTTGTCGCAGCGATCATCGTTCATCACTCTCAAGCCCGGAAATTGTAACCCTAAGCTAACCCTTTTGAAACGATCGCAAAAGATACTCTCAGACCTCTTGTTTCAGGATCTGCTTGTCACCAACAAGATTCTAAAAAACTGACCATGGCACGGAACCAGCAACCACACTCTGCTGTGCTCTTTCTCATCTCTCTACTCATAATCGCCCTTTTCAACAATCAACTCTTTGTTCAAGCCAATAACGACAACAACAACAACACTTGTGCTTCTTCCGACATGTCGTTTTCCTCTTTTCTTCGTGGCAAAGTAGCTCTCATTACCGGCGGCGGTGGCACGATTGGCGAAGCCATTGCTTCGAAATTGGTTGGCCAAGGAGCTTCGGTGGTATTGGTTGGAAGGACGTTGGAGCGATTGGAAAAGGCCCGGACAAATGTGCTGTCGACGCAAGCGCAAGCCGCCAAGGACGCGGTATCCGTCTTGACCTGCGATGTGACCAAGGAAGACTCGGTGGTGCAACTGTTTTCCACTCTCGACGAACGAGGTGGCGTGGATTTGTTGGTCAACAATGCCGGTGTCGCCATTGGCGGTCCTACCGAAGGCTTGTCGGGCGAGGATTTCTCCTGGGTCATGAATGTGAATGTAGTCGGACCCTTTCTCTGTGCTCGCGAAGCACTCAAGAGAATGAAAGAGAAACAGGGTGGCCGCATCATCAACATTGGTTCCTTGAGTGCCATTTCGCCACGACCCGACAGTGCTCCCTACACCACGAGCAAATTTGCCATTATGGGTTTGACGCACAGTTTGGCACTGGATGCCCGTCCCTACGGTGTTGCCGTGGGTATGATCCATCCCGGTAATGTGGTCAGTGCCTTGTTGAGCCCCGAGGAAGCGGCCCGACGAGAAGAGGCGGAAGGATTCTTACAGCCCGAGGATGTCGCCAATTCGGTCTTGACCATGGCCAGTCTTCCCTATCATGCCAACATCTTGGAACTGACTGTGTTGCCCACTCGTCAGCCTTTGGTTGGAAGAGGCTAGCTATAGATAGATGCATGTAGATGGGCAGTGACATTCTTGGCATATACCGGTACATGATCTTGGAAAACATGCCGGAATGCCATGACCATAAAGTGCCCACATTTCTATGCTATTTAGCTACCAATTTACTGAACTAGGATACCTATCTTCAGTGCCGACGTGTAGCCAGACAGTTGTGAGGAGAGAAGGTTTCAAATCCTGCTTTTGACTAAGGTGGGGGCATGGGTGGTGATGATAGTTGGATCTTATTCTCTGCTATCGGTACCAATACCGGTAGTATCGCTGCCGTAGCTAGCCAGACACCAGAGCTCCTTTAAACCAAAGATTCTGCATTCCTTTTGCCATCGTCAATGGCCCACGTCGTTGAATGAACATTTCCTAACACTTTACCTCTTGCCCCAGCTTCTCACATGGATGTCTCTCGTTCTCATAACCACCTGATTTGAATGGCATGCTGTGCGTCTGAGGAAGGATGCAGCATCTTCCACAAGGTCGGCAGTACCTGCTGACATTCGGTGTCCATGCCGTACGGCGGTTGAATCATGATCATACCCGTGCCCACGTCGGGTTTTCGATCATCATCGGACGAGGATGGAGCGTACACTTCGACGGCCAAGATTTCATCATCATTTTCTGCGCCAAGCATACGGTAGAGTCGTTCCAACTTGTCGGCATGATCCGGTCGCACGGGATGCCAAATGACAATGCGTGCCGATCGCCAATGTTGCCGTAGAGCACGGCATGTAGCGACGATTTGATCGGTATCGGATCCGTACTGATATGGCGGATCCAGCAGAATCAAGGCTCGGGGTGGCAAGGAGGAAGTGGATTGTGCGTATTTGGTCAAACCCTTGTATCCATCGTCGCAGTGCAGAAAGGTGTCAATGGAATTGGAATTGCTGGTAGCAGCCAGATATTCGTCCAAATGATGCCGTAAGAGATCCAGTGGAGCGGGAAACTTTTCGTAGAGATGCATGGAATGTTGGATAGTACTAGTTTGTGGTGATTGTTGTTTTGCCAGCAAGGAAGCCGCAAATAGGGGAGATCCCGGATAGATGAGTCGAGTTGGTGCATCCTCTTTCTGTGGCACCTGAAAGGATCTCACAATGTCCAAGTAGGTGACCACAGATTCTGGCAAGTCTCCTGGATCCTTTTGATGAATCAGGTCAAGCAATTGCCACACACCTCGTTGGTGTTCCTTTTCGTAGTCGGTACTACTAGTATCCGCCAATTCGTACAGGCCAGCTCCCGCGTGTGTTTCCACATAGCTCATGGATTTGTTCTTTGGTAATATCATGCGTTGCAGCAACATCACCAGCATGACATGCTTAAAGACATCGGCAAAATTTCCAGCGTGAAAGGCATGCTGGTATTCCAGTCTCTTGTTGCCACTACTATTACTGGTACTACTGGAATTGTCGTCGGCAGTCGATGACAAGAGGGTGCGAAAGCTGCATGTCCTGGGGTGGACACCGCTTCTCGTCCTAGGCCAAGATCCAGTCAACAATTGGCGACCAGGAAGAACCGAGCGTCTGATTGCCAGATTGATCATTGTCAAGGCCATGGGTACCTTTATTGTCTTCATCGGCTTTACCTCCAAGCAAGCAGTCAATAATGGAAGCTCCAACGAGATCCTTGGATCTTGAATCTTTCGCAAGGTGTTTTTGTATTTTAAGCCAGTGGCGCTGACATTTTGAACTTGGGGAGGACTCTTCGGTCTTGGCTTTCTTCAGACGGTACATGTACAGTGTACCGGTACTGGTACCGGTACCGTAAAGTATATCCCAGAACTGAGAGAAATACTGAGAGCCTGTACCTGTGGTAGTGGATCCTACAGACGTATTGATCAAGGTATCCAACACCAGGCGACACCTGGTGTATGCTGGTTGATCGATGTTAATACCAGTGAGCGAACGAAAGTCACGTCCTCGGTCTAAGAAAATGAGGTCGCACCTTACTACTCACTGTTAAGATAACGTCGCCTCTTTTTGTTAGTACGTTTTCGAAAAGACCAAGTCCACGAAATCGCTCGCCTAGCTAGCTAGCTAGCTAGCGTACGTTCGAAAAGCGCAAGTCCACGAAATCGCTGGCTACCAGCACGAAAACGAAAATGCCACAAGCCAAAGTCTCATGAACAACTCACTATTAGGCATGGCTACATGCTTATAAACTAAGGTCAACTTTACTGAGACGAACAATACAAAGATCCTCATGCAGACTGCCCATAATGGTGTCCTGCTTGATGGCAGCAGTAATATTCAAAACACTTCCTTTGTAATGCTCCTCAATCTTGGAGATGACCCAAGCTGGAGCTTTCTGAGCATTGACAAGTGTAGCCATGAGAGTCCAGAGTGGCTCCTCCTGGAGTAGGTTGACTTGCAAGCCTGATATCATCAGCAGTGAGTTCTTGGCTGGCTTGTTGCCACAAATACCATGCATCCACTCTGCCAAGCAGAGCCAACAGTTCTTACTTGGCTAGCTTGGCAGGCCTACTATCACAGGGGTGGTGGCCACAGTTGTCTGTACCTGAGGCTAGTCTGGCCATTCCGGCGAGTCCTTTCCACAGTCAACCCATTTCTAAAAAGATTACCATCTACCTGATCAGGTGTTGCATCCTTGGAGGCTGAACAGAATCCTAAAAAGGATACAAAAATACATAGTTAGCAGCAAATAGCCATAGTTGCAATAGCCAACAGCCAAAGTCCACACTTACCTGCAAATATTCCATTGAGTTTCGTCAGCTCCGCGCCAAGCCAAGTCTCCAACCAACCTCAAAAGCAGCAGCCGAACTGTCGCGGGTCCTACCTTCTTGCGCTAAGCTGCTGGAGCGGTTGTGCTGCGCAATAATCCTTGTCAGAATCTCCTCGTTCGTTCGTACCTGCTGTTGCGTTTGCATACCGTCACCTGCCGCGACTGATTGGCAACTTGACGAGTGTTGCCTGGCCGGTCGTTCTCATAGTGCCACCAGCCGTGCCACCGCACCGCCCCTCCCGTATCCATCGGCTCGATTCGTTGATTGGAGCTTGGTGTGTGCGTCCAAATAGAGAAGGCACTTTCACCACAGGGTTGAGCCAACAGGAATATCGGCCTTGATGCGCTCGTACGCTCTTGGATCCTAACACGAACGGGAGGCTCATCCTCTCCTCCCAAGATGTCAAGAGCAGCCCACAAAAGAGAGAGCCAAGTGAAGGAAATGTCGTTGACCCGTCGTAAAACGCATGCGCCTTGGCACCACAGCTCAATCAACAGTCGGGAGTCACTCTCTGGCATCCGGGTGTGCTTGTAGGCAATAGGAGCCCCATGCAAAGCTTTTCGGCAACACGGGCGTCGATCCAGGGCTGTTCAGGCGAAATGTAGGCATCAACAACCCGCCAGACAAGCGAGCCTTCCAGCGACCTCGAATGTAACTTCGTCAGCAGTAGCACCCATCCTCTTGCCAGAGTTGCAGCAACTTCCAATGCTGTGCTCCCAAGAACACCGCAATGAGGACGCCACAGCCAGAAATGGAGCCGACAAAAAGACAGCCTTAGAATGTTGCGTAGGCTGCGTTGCAGTGCTTGGGAGCCAACTTAGGATCGTTTCGGGAGTAAAGAGGAATGCATCTTCCCGACCAGCGGCGCATACCCGTAGTTGAAGGAGCCTCCATGTAATTCGCCAATCCGAGCATAGCACAAAAGTCGGTATCCATCGACCAAGAATGATTTGGTCAGGGCATTGTCTTTCTTCCGAAATATTCTTGGACAATGCACCTTGCAACTGAGCGCAAAAGGGAAGTCTGGATGCGGCTTGTAGTCGGAATTTCAACTTGGAGATGTCGTCCGCCTGGTGATGAGATGGACTTCTGCTTCAACATGCAGGCTGTACGGATGGTCGATTCAAAGCTCCTTTGCCGTAGAGTTATGGACCACCTTGCGATACTCAGTTTCCGTCAAATCCCTGGTGGCACAGGACTCTTGCCGCGGTGTTGAGTCTCCGCTTCTTGACTTCCTTGACCACTTCGTTCACAGGATCGGACTTGGTTGGATTGCCGGAGGTTCCATTCCATGTGGCACTTTGATGGGCATGTAGAAGGAGATAGCCTTCTTGTCTTGCTCAAGAGTAAGGAGCGGCAAGTTGGATTCTGCTCGAGGTCTTTGAAGTCAACATCGGTCGTACCATACGCACGCCATTTCAAGTAGTCGGCAACGTGTGTGTTGGATGCCGGCCAAGCACTAGTTGGAAGCGAGCCGCCTTGGTGTAGTCCTCTTGTGCAGCCAGCTCATGATTTGACGAAGAGCGATGGTAATCCCGGTTGTACTTGGGCTTCCGTGGGTGCTTCAGGCAAATCCGGCACTCTTCCAACCCAAAGGCTGCTCCAGCATTGCATTGGCCATGGCCATGGTGGAAATTGTTTGGTCAACTAAGCAATTGTTGGTTGAGCTGAATTTTGGCAGAGTTCCTTTATAGACTTGAAGGATTGGAAATAATGAGGAAAACTGAGGAACTGACTAGCTACCGGTAGCTAGCGCTGGATCGATCCGATCGCACGAGTTGCACGTTGGTTGCCTCTTTGCTTGAGTATACACGAACGATTGAACGATCATTGGTTGGGTGGCTTGAGTATGCACGAACGTACAGCAGTGATCTTTCGCAACGGTTGGATCGGAACGATCCATGGATCTCATGGAGAGGGTATGTGTTGGGATACTTAGGGCGAATGGAATCCTCTCATATGTGAGTTGGTCCTATTATGCAGCCCCTTTTCTATCTGTTGCAGTTTATTTAATAATGAGAGTCTTATTGAGAGATCTTTGTTTCAATACTCGATACTGTATTTCTAGTAGCATACTGTCAGATCTGAGGGTATGTAAGATCCATAGTAGTAGGGGGAAGCACATACTGATTGCAACTACTGTTGCAGAAACGTAGTACCGGTACCGTACTCATAGAATGCACGAAGGCTGGCATCCACAAAGAGCTACCGGTACAGCATGGCCGTCTCTTATAGTCTAGTAGAAGCCTCAGACAGATACTGGTACGATTGAGTGTCAAGGATAGAGTACGGGTTTCTTTTTGATCCTTCAGATGGGCTCTAAGGACTAAGGAAACTGCATTGGCACGGCACTGGGGTGGGTTAGATTGTAGTATGGCCATACCGGTAGCAACCAAAGGGAAGTCGCTCGATGCAATATTTTGGAGTCAAGTTGCACACCAGTGTTCATTCTTGTCATCACATGTATCAGAGTTCTTCAGCAACTGAAAACTTGTCAGGTGGCATGTGGAACTGTGTGGAAGGCAAAAATCTACATCTACACACTGGTTCTACTAAATCTTCGATAGTACGTTCTGGACTGGCAATGACGTGAGTTCGATTGCCATCCCTTTTCGGATCGGGAACCGCCTCTCGTGGTGGCTTTGAGCGGTGCTTCCTAAAGGCTCACAAAACAAAACCAACAAACACAAGGATCAAAAGACAATCCAAACACAAAACAATCGCATTTCTTTCGAGGAAACCAAACCATGGCTCTAAGATCTGGCAGAAGCTTTTCCCTGCTGGTTCTGGCATGTGCCTTACTAGTGATCAAGACCAATGCCTTTCACTTGAATTCTCCAGGGCAGAGACAAACTGACCTGGCCAAGCTTTCTCAGGCCATTTCCACCACTGCCAAGCCATCTCGAGTGGAGATTGAAAAGGCTGCTGGACAAGGCGACAAACAACCCACCAAAAGCTCCAATGATCCTGGTCTAGCCGGAGTAAGCGGCCAGCAGACGGATCCTAAAGCCGAGTGCAAGTGCTACACCAACTGCCCCCTTTTGACTCACAATCCCGAAGTGAGAGATCGCCTCGCCAAACTGACTGAAACCCGAAACTACCCAATGTTTGTGGCTGAAAAGGCCGCCAAGTACCTGATTGATGACGTTTGGGGAAACATGGGTGACAGTGTCGCAGCCAAGGAACGGCTGGTGATTCTAGGTGCGGGATGGGGAGCCGCGGCAGTCCTCAAGGGTATTGACACGAATCGATACGACGTGACAGTCATCAGCCCCCGGTAAGCAGTTGCCTGTCACTCAACTTTCTCCGTGTTGTTGTCTTCTTGAACTCATCCAGTTGCAACATAGAAACTACTTCTTGTTCACTCCCATGCTTGCCGGAAGCGCCGTTGGCACAGTAAATGTCAGGAGTATCACCCAGCCCATTCGAGATGTAAGCCCGAAGATCAAATGCAAATCATTTCCCCGCTTCCTTGCTTTCATTGACAAACCTTCCTGTTGCTTCCTTTTGCGAATAGTTCAATGCCAATGCCAACTACTTGGAAGCCGCAGCCAAGGAGATTAACCCTGAGAAACAAATCATCAAGTGCACGGGCCTGACGGTCCAAGACAACTCCGAAATTGATGAATTCGAGGTTCCCTACGACCGTCTGATCGTTTCTGTGGGGGCTCGCGTCAACACCTTTGGGATCAAGGGAGTCGAAGAATACTGTTCTTACCTAAAGCAGGTGGACCACGCCCGCAAGATACGTCGAAAGATTGTCAGCCTGTTTGAAAGAGCTAATTTGCCGGGAACACCAGAAGAGGAGATTGAAAAGCTTCTGAGCTTTGCAATAATCGGTGCCGGTAAGTCAAGGCAATTGTGCAACACGCCCAGTGCTGAGTCGAGTCATCAAGGCAGCACGCTCACTCGCTTTCCCCTTCGCCACCCGGTCTCTCAGGTCCCACTGGAGTGGAGTTCGCGGGAGAGCTGAGGGATTATGTTGAGGAAGAAGGACCAAAGTACTACCCCCATTTGTTGAAGCACGTCCGCATCAAGCTGATTGAAGCAACTCCGGTTGTGCTGCGGCCTTTCGACAAGTAAGTGCGTCACGTTTCCTTGCACTGGCGCGTACTATTTGACCTTGCAAAAGAATCCTCCTCCTTCAATCTCAACCCATTACTGTGCCGCTTCCAGAACATTGCAGGACGCCGCAGTGGAAGCATTGACAATCAAACCATCCGGCAATTCTGCCCATCTGTTTTCAGAAGAGATTGCTGAACTCGTCGTCAATAAGAAGGTGTGCCATTAGCAATATAATCTATGCTCGTCAAAATGAACATACATTCCTCATTGCCAGTTTTTACTTTGTTGTACAACTCAGGTAATGGAAGTAAGCCAGGACTTCATCAAGCTGGAGGACGGGCGTGATATCCCGTACGGACTCGCTGTCTGGGCTGGTGGCATTGGTCCCCTAGAGATCACTCTCGATTTGATCGCAAGGATTGGGGGACGTCAAGTCATCAACCAGAACGTGGCCCGAGGAAAGCTTGCAGTGGACCCATGGCATCGAGTAATTGATGCCAAAGGCAAGATTTTTGCCATCGGTGATTGTGCTGCTAACCAGGGTGGGCCGCTCCCCGCGACGGCCCAGGTCGCGGCCCAGCAGGGTGAGTTCTTGGCTCACATTCTCAACGTGGGCAATCACACTATTGGTTTTGAGAACGGGGTTCAGTTGCCACCCAAAAAAGTGCTAGGACAAACCCAACTTGCCGACTCGATTGCTGCCTTGTCCACCGGCGAGGATGAGTACTTGGCACCATTTCAGTACCTGGACTTGGGAGTACTCGCCTACACGGGTCGATTCTCCGCCCTGGCGCAACTACAAATGGCTCCAACCGAAGCTGGCCGCGTCAAGGCTAAGGGAAAGGTTGGGTTCGGTCTGTGGCGTTCGATCTACCTCATCAAGCAGACGTCGTTGAGGAATCAAATGCTCGTCTTCTTGGACTGGTGCAAGGCTCGCATGTTTGGACGTGATATTACCTTGATCGATTAAAATGCAGCCAACCAAATGGCAACAACAAAGACGGATCCTTCAACGCACATTCTTGGTTCCTTTGACCTCTTCACTTTATCGAGTAAGCAGGACTCTTTGTTTCTACCAGAATCACAACCGACGTCAATTTGGCAGACACCTACACACCTACGCACCAACACAAAACACCAACACAATCTCTCACACAACATACGTACATACACGTAGGAAGCACAAAGGATATTGACGAAGATGAACCAAACGTGGTACCGGAACTGTATAAGGAAGTAGATGATCGTAATCACACACATGCAAAAAGTAGCCCAGAGTCGAGTCTTCGGACCTCAGAATTCTTCTGTTTCATGTAATGTTGATACGTTTTCGCTCGTGTGCTAGCTAGCTAGCTAGCTAGCTAGTAGGGCAGTGAAACAGAGCTGCAAAGTGAACCGACAATCGTACCGGTAGGTTTGCGGTGGGCTGAATGAATTTTAAATTGAATCTAGTTTACCCCCTTTTCCTTCCCCATTTCAACCCCCCTCCAGCCCCTGAGCTCTTTATTTTTATTTATTTATTTATTTATTTATTTTATTTATTTATTTATTATTTATTTATTTATTTATTTATTTATTATTTATTTATTTATTTATTTATTTATTTATTATTTATATTTATTTATTTATTTATTTATTTATTATTTATTTATTTATTTATTTATTTATTTATTTATTTATTTATTTATTTATTTATTTATTTATTTATTTATTTATTTATTTATTATTTATTTATTTATTTTTATTTATTTATTTATTTATTTATTATTTATTTTATTTATTTATTTATTTATTTAATTATTATTAATTATTAATTAATTAATTAATTAATTAATAGAGGCACAGCACCCATCAATCAAATGGATAGAATCAGGGGCAATCGGATGGCCGGACCCCTTTTGAGTCTTGCGGATTGCAACGCATTTCTTCAGTTCCATTAGGGACCCCTCATAATCTCCTTTATCCTTGAGCACGAACCATATGCTGTGGCGGCAACTGGCAGTGTCTAGATGATCGGCCCCCAGTGTTGGAGGTTGTATTACAGACACCTCAATACAAATTATTTGTTTATCCCAATCTAGTTTAAGGGGATATCTATATCAATTTCTAGTTACATACATGGGGAGTTTAACTGATCTATATGGTCACCCCCTTCACTATATCCTTTGAAGTTGAATCAATCCCAGAAAACATGGAGAAAGATCACTTCTTTGAAATAGCTTCACAGTAAAACCCTTTTGAACTGTACTAAGCTAGAGTGTTACTAGCAACCAACACTATTTCCAAGAAGATCATCTCGTCTTCGAGATATCGATATTGGCTTCGCCCATTATGCAATGGGAATCTATCGACTATAGAGCCCATGCTATACAGTTGAACAGTACAGGCATATAGGGCTGGAGCCCCACTATAAGGGCTACCAAAACAGCTCAACAGGCAAAGCTCCGCACCAGTCGAGGGGCACGAAATTGCCTCACGAGTTCCTACACGACGAACCACTCGAACGATCCACTTCCAGCTAACCGGAAGGCAACAGTAAGCATACCACACGAAAGAGCATTGAAAACTAAACCATTTGCATGCTTGAATCGCCTCCATACAACAGAAACTGAATGAGTTACGTGCCATTGAAAATCTGCTACTACAAGTAGCAATAACGCTTCTCCCAGGAACGAAGAGCTGCGGCGCAAGACAAGCCGGCAGCGAGCTCACAGGAGTGAGCCGGAAGCAAGCTCACAGGAGTGAGCAGGAAAGATCTTTGAGCTGCGGAATACAGCCATTGTACAACATACGAGAGTCAACTACAAGAGTGGGAACGAAAGGTTGTCACGAAGACGCCAAGCTCTCAGGAGTGAGCAAGAAAGAAACAAGCCCACAGGGGTGAGCGAACGTATCAAGCTCACAGGAGTGAACGATCACAAGAGAAGCAGAGGCTACTGTACGGCATAATCCGTGCAAGCCTGCATGAGTGAGAGTACGGTATCCTACGCAAGAACGAACATCAGCTCACAGGAGCGAGTGAGCAGGAGTGAAATCATCAAGACTTTGAGCTGCGGAACTCAGCCATCGTACGACTGCCGCAGGTGCAGTGCTGCTACGAAAACCAACCACTACAAGAAAACTCATCTATAAGCACAACGAAGTGCATGCAAGGGTGACAGCCAAGCTATCCAGCTAGCTACCACGACGAGTCCAACAAGATCAGAGCTAGCCACGGAAGAGGAGTTAGATATCAAACTCCAACAAGAATTACACCAGAGGTACTTCCGTGGGAGTTCCGAGAGCCTCACTATCAAGGCATCGAATCAGTGCCAATAGAGAAGAGGTGCAAGCGACGGAACGGCAAATTCTGTCGCAACAAGCCAAATTGCCAGGTCGATTACTCGACAACGACAGGTCCTACGGAAGGACTGTCATACAACAAGTTGTGCTACGAACACTAGCGCAACAGGCTCAACAAGGTAGACGCACTCAAAACGCCGAGGAAGGAAGATTCATCCAACGGCGACAGCGCCATTGCGATCGTGGAATTTGCGAATTTTGCAACTTCCACCAACCAAAGAACAAGGCAACCGAATCCATCGATACGGCGACAAGAAGGAACGACGACAGCTACCACTAGCAAGTCACAGTTGCTACTGATATCTAGCGGCAACAGCGCCGTGTCGACTGATGGGAACAGCATCATCGCGACCATCGGCAAGAGCGAATTTGCAAATTTTGCAATTCCGCCAGTCAAGAACAAGACGATCCAAGCGACTGAGTGCAGTGGCGACAACAGTCGCTGCTGCTACCACCGCTAGCCGCTACGATCAACAAGAACGACGACGCCATCATCGGCCATCAATACCGATAGTGGCAACAGTGCCATTGTGTGTGTTGGCAACAAGCCAACGAGCGATCGAACTGCCGAAGCTACTGCTACGGCGACAACATCAAGAACAACGACCGCTACCACCAGTAGCCAGTCACTACCACACCTATCAACGCAAACACAGCAGTGAGATACTGCTACAACAGCGAGAGGATTGACAGCACCATTGTGTTTGTTGATCAGCAACAGTGTCGGCAACTGCTGTCGGCAGAAGAAGACTTTGCTTTTTGTGAGGAAATCGCTGACAGCGCAACCAGTTCCACGGAACGGCAAAGAACAGCCTGCAGTTCAGCGACGACCACAAGACAACAGCCACTGAACCGAAATGGTATCTTTTTGCGAAAAGGTATCTTTCCAGCACGGCACTGAGCCAGCAACCCGTACCGTACCGGTACGGTTGTACCGTACGTCGGCAACAAGACGATCCCCACGGTGGTGGTACCAATTACTGATGCAGCTACCGGTACAGGAACCAACTGGAGCACGTCCTGCAATGCAGGTAACTTGCTAGCTAGCCACACCGGCCGGCACAAAAGCTCTTGCAGCAGTGCAAAGCAACCGGAAGTACAGTGCATCCGCCGGAGCGGTACAAGCTACAGCTAGAGGAAGCACAGGAGTGTGCAACCTCCAGCATTGAATATTCTCTTTGGAGTGTGTATCGAGATTACACTCAGCACCTCCTACCCTTTCACGGAGTGTGTATTGTGGCATCCCAGCCACAGCACCTCCTACTACTTTTTTGGAATGTGTATTGTGCAACTAATCCACAGCACTTCCTCCCTGATTACAGGCAAACCTGAGGCTACAACAGCCTCCAGGCAGGTAACAACAATATCATTACAATTCTCTGCCCTTGCTATTTGATCACAGCAAGTGCACAGGAGTGTGGTGGTACCCAAAATCCAAAACCTACAATCCTACAACAAAATCTTCAAAACAACCGCCTTTATAGGCAATGCCGCAACCACCAACGGCATCAATGGCAACAACAGCCCACAACGGTATCTACCGCTACCAATGGCAACAACAGCCCACAACGGTATCTACCGCTACCAAACCGAATACAACGAAATCGACACCAAACCAGAATTGCATCTACAATAATGGCAACTGCAACAACAGCAGAACAACAGTGAGTGTTGAACCGAGTAGCTACAAGCAACTCAAGAGTTCACAAGACAAGGTACCAAGCCACAGGATGGCAGGAGCAGACAGAGTTAGACCCACAAACCAGGCAACCTGATCTACAGAAACAACAAGAGGGTGCACACCTCAGCCCCACTGCAACTACTGTACAGAGATTGCAACCAACCTAGTCTCACACCAACAACAGAAGTACACCAGTACAACAAATCAAGCCAACCATAGATACAACTACGGACAACTACAAGTCCTGCCACAGCCATCTCACAGGAGTGTAAGAGCAGTGACATCGCCAACCAAAGGATCTACCGACTACATCACCATCGAACCAGGTCCAGTGGAGCCCATCAAGTTGGAGCATCCACAACTACTACCGAATACTTCCTTACAAGTTTCCAAACTTCCAAGGGCTTCCAGCCCCAACTCAAAGTATCATTAGGGCAAGGAACTTCCTCCTAGTTCCAGCTACTACAACAGTTCTCCCAAGTGTCGCTATAGCCTGACTTCCCAGTCTCAGCTACGGCAACACCAAATGACGGTACCAAGTGTACCAAGTGACGACACCAGTCACCACGAGTGACGACATCAGCAGTCACGAGTCTCACATGAGTATAAACAACCACGACAAGAGGAAACAATAACTCAACCATTTCCTCATTCCATCTTCAGACATCAAGACCATCCAAGAACTAGGTTCAGTCGAACCCAACAAGTCCGTGACTTCCAAGCTACATCATTTCCAGCTTCCATGCACCTTCCAATAGGGCATCACTTCCCACAAGTCTACGACTTCCAGAAGCTTCAACCAGCTTCCATCTACGAAGGGCTTCCAGCCCCATCAAGTGTCAATGAAGCCGAACTTCCCAGTCTGAGCCGCAGGTACACCAAGTGACGGTTCATCCGACACCAGTCTTCCAGGAGTGGCATCACTCCCAGCAGGAGTGCCCGCCACAAAGACTTTTCTGACGATGACATTTTCCGTATTGTCTCGTCTCCAACCGCTCAGCTTCTCGCCATCAAGCGGGATATCGAGCAACTACTCTCAAGGTGTTTTGGACGCCAGCCAACGGGATATCGAGCAACTACTCTCAAGGTGTTTTGGACTCATTGCAAGCCAGTCGATACAACGACGCGAGACTGGATTGCAAGCCTTCCCACGGCAGGAGCCTGCTTACCCAAGCACAGATAGACACTTTGAGTGCTATCGATTCTCAGGAACCTTAGAGGAACCACCTCTAGCTCCATAGCAACCCCAAGGTGCATCCAATGTCCAAACCAACCAAGCCAGCTTTGGCTACAACAAGTACAAGTCCTGCCACAGCTAGCTCACAGGAGTGTGCCAACAGTGACAGCAGGAGTGGTATTGATAAAGTTGTACCCACCAAAACCAAAGTCTCAAACCTTTTTCAACCTTCCTTTGAATTCTCCGATCGATCTATCCAGATTGACACACCAGATCGACTGACAAGAAACGATCATGCCAGATC